CCTCGTCTGTCAATCAGCTGTCAGGGACTTTTAATTACTTTAGTATCTTTATATTTTTGTTGGAATTTGGAAGAGAGGTGGGGACTGCTAGAGAATACAATTTAAAACTAGAATTCAGTCATTCAGACATTTTTCAATAAGCCTACCTCTGTAAAAAAGCCCAATCTCTATTTCTTCCTTAACGTACTGCCATCTGATTTTTTATTTAACTTATATCACTATTGCCATCAAGTCAGAACCTACTAATAGCTGACCCTCCATTGAATTTCCAAAGTGGTAAATTGCAAAGGACTGGATTTCCCATCTTTCTTCTTCAGAGCTATAGTGCATTTGAACCACCAAAGAGCTGTAGCGTTTAGGTTAACAGACTCCCTAAGGACAAGGCCACTGGAACTCCCTATTGTGGCTATGAGCCCTTGAATTGGATCTAACTCAGAGATGACCCTGGAGCAGGTTTGCAGAGGCTGTAAATTACACTGGGAGAAATTGTTCTTTCTTCTGTGGAGCAGCTTGTGGATTTGAACTTCTTGCTTTGGGGTTGAAAGTGCAATTCTTTACCATTTGGCCATCAGCTCCCTCCCGCCCTTAAACTCTTCAAGTCAACTGTTAAAGCTAGTGGGTACGTTGAATCATCTAACTCTTAACCTTTCTCAGTTTATGGCCCTGTGACCACTGCCTCTTCTTGTTGGTATACTTGTAGAGAGTATTTACTTAGTGTCAGGTTTTGTGGCAAGTTCTTCATATACATCTTACACATAAACTTAAGCTCAGAAAGGAAAATCATTTGCCCATTGTCCAGAAGCTAGTATCTGGAAAAGTCAGGAAGGTTCTTTCTTAGATGTTCTCTCCTCTGAATGTTTATGTCCTTGTTTGATCCTGTTTCTCTGCTTCCTTTTCTTTAGCATCCTTTGTGGGCTCCTCATCCCTTGCTTCTGGGATATTCTCATTCTTCTCAATGTTAAGCCATCGTTTGTTATGATCCACACAGTCAAATGCCTTTGCATAGTCAATAAAGCACAAATAGACATTCTGATATTCACTTGCTGCTTTTAGCCAGAATTCATCTGACCTCAGCAATAATATCCCTGGTGCCACAGCTTCATCTAAACCCAGCTTTCTGGCAGTTCTCTATCAGTATACTATTCTAGCCATTTTGGGGTAATATTAAGCAATATTTTGCTTTTATATGATATTAATGATTTTGTTCTATAATTCTCACGTACTGTTGGGTCCCCTTTCTTGGGAATGGGAACACATATGGATCTCTTCCAGTCAGTCGGCCAGGGGCTGTCCTCCAGATTTCCTGGCATAGACTGGTAAGCACTTCCAGTTAGTATCACATTGATTCCTGGAGCCTTATTTTTTTGCCAATGCCTTCAGTGTAGCTTGAACTTCTTATTTCAAGGGTATTCGCTCTTGTTCATATGGTGGTTGTTGTTGTTATGTGCCGTCGAGTCACTTGCGCCTCATAGCGAACCTATGTACATACAACGGCCCTAAACCCTGCTCTATCCTGTGCCAATCGCACTGTCTCTGACACTCCCATCCCGACTATCCCAGTCACTGAATCAATCCACCTCATAGAGGGCCTTCCCCTCCTGCTCTGTCCCTCCACCCTCCCAAGCATGATGTCCTTCTCCAAGGGCCAGTCTCTCCTCACAGTCCAACGTGTGTTAGACGGAGCCTCAGAATCCTTGCCTCCAAGGAGCCACCCGGCTTAACCTTTCAAGGATGAATCTGTTTGTTTTCCTAGCAGTCCATGGTACTCTCAGTACTCTTCTCCAGCACCACAGCTCAAAGGCATCAATTCTCCTTCTATCCTCCTTGGTCATTGTCCAGCTCTCTGATGCATAACAAGTGATTGCAAAGACCATGGCCTGTATCAAACGCACCTTAGTCTTCAGAGAGACACCATTGCTCTTCAGTACTTTGGAGAGGTCCCTAACAGCAAACTTTCCCATGGAAATGCACCTTTTAATTTCCTGGCTACTGGTGCCAAGAGTGTTGACTGTGGAGCCAAGTAAACTAAGGCTGTGAACAATCTCAGTCTCTTCACCATCCATCCTGATGCTGCCAATTGGTTCAGTGGTGAGAATCTTTGTCTTCTTGACATTGAGCCTCAATCCATATTGGAGGCTGCAGTCCTTGACCCTCTGCAGCAGGTGCTTCAGGTCCTCCTCAGTTGCAACAAGCAGGGTTGTGTCATCTGCATAATGCAGATTGTTGATAAATCGTCCACCAATCTTGATCTCACATTTCTCCTCATAGAGCCCAGCCTCCCGGATAATCTGTTCTGCATATAGGTTGAAAAGGTATGGAGATAGGATGCATCCCTGGCGTACACCCTTCCCAATTTTGAACCATGCAGTGTTCCCTTGCTCTGTTCTGACGACTGCCTCCTGGTCCAAGTATAGGTTTCGCATTAGAACGATCAGGTGTTCTGGGATTCCCATTCTTCTCAGAGTCAGCCACAGTTTGTTATGATCCACACAGTCAAACGCCTTTGTATAGTCAATGAAACACAGATAGACATTCCTCTGATATTCCCTGCTTTCAGCTAAGATCCATCTGATGTCAGCTGCAATATCCCTAGTACCACGGCCCCTTCTAAACCCAGCCTGGACTTCTGGCAGTTCTCTGCTGATGTGCTCTTCCAGTCATTTTTGGATAACCTTCAGTAGAATCTTGCTTGCATGTGAAATCAATGAGATTGTTCTATAGTTTCCACACTCTGTTGGGTCACCTTTCTTTGGGATGGGAACAAATATAGATCTCTTGCAGTCAGTTGGCCAAGTGGTTGTTCTCCAGATTTCTTGGCACTTCCTTAATTTTTTGGTACCAGTTCTTTTTGATACAATGACTCTGTATGTTTCTTCCATCTTCTTCTGGTGCTTCCTGGATCATTCAGGATTGTGCTCATAGCATTTCTCAGTATGGCAGTTTGAGGCTTGAATTTGTTTTTCTTTTAGCTTGAGTTCATTCTTCCCATTTTACTCTCTGACTCCAGCTCTTTGCATATTCGTTAAAATATTTTGCTTTGCCTTCTTGAGCTGCCTTTTGAGATATTCTGTACAGCTCTTTTACTTTAACATCTCTTCTTTATGTTTTGGCTTCTCGATGCTCTAATGCAGTTTTCATAGTCTGTTCTGACATCTATTTTGGTTCTTTCTCCTCTGACTTCGTAATGACCTTTTGCTGTCTTCGTGTGTGATATACTTGATACCATTCCATAGTATCTTTTCTCCATAGTTAATCTATATATATGCTGAATAAATAATTCTCCCCCCCTTCTTTACTGGATGTTATTTATAAAATATCTGACCTGTCCAAATGTTTGTGGAGCAGCCTTTCCCACTGTATAGTAGCCTTAGGTAGCATGTTGCATTGTGGGGTTCCTGTCTGCTGAGACTAACATGGGTGAAGCACCTCCCTCTCAGGCAAATAATTCTTGAAGCTGTACTCTGTAAAGAGGAATGTAGGATTAGGATCGAAGGAAGACTCATTAACAACCTGCGTTATGTAGAGGACACATCCTTGCTTGCAGGTCATGAAACACTTGCTGCAGAAGATCATGGATTATTATGAATTATATCTCAACAGCAAGAAAACAGAGGTCCTTACCATTGGGTCAATACACAGTATCGTGATAGATGGAGATAAGATTGAAGTTGTTGACAACTTGAATCTTACTTGAATCCACAATCAACACCCTTGTTATCAGCACTCAGGAGACAAGGAGATGTATTGCTGTGGGCAAGTCTGCTGTCAGGTATCTCTCCAAAATACTTAGTAGGCTGATGTCAGTTTGAAGTTAAGGTACCCCTGATATAAGCCATAGACTTTTTAATCATTTGTTACAAATCTGAGAGCTGGGCAGTGAATAAGGATGACAGAAGAAGAATCAATGCCGTTAAGTTGTGGTGTTGGAGAGGGGTGCTGAATATCCCATGGATTTCCAGAAGTACAGATATGTCTTGGAGAAGATGAAGCCAGAATGCTCCTTGGAGGCAAAAGTGGAGAGACCTTGTTTCTCATACTTTGCACAGATTGCTAGGTAAGGCTATTCCTTGGAAAGGGACAACATGCTTGAAAAAAAAATGGAGGGTCAGCAAAAGAGAGGAAGACCTCCAACAAGATGAATTGACACAGTGACTGCAGCAGTGGGTTCAAGTGTGTCAGAGAAGATGAGCATGCTACAGGATAGAAAAGGTTCAAATCTTATTCATAGAGTGGCTGTGAGTGTTACTTGACTCCAGGGCACCTAACAACAACATCCCTTGTCGATCCCTTGGGATTTGCATACTAAAAGCTCATCTTCCTGCTTCCTAGGCAATCTTTCTCCGTGGGCAATCTCATCCATTCACATTCTAAGGCTCACAAACCTCTATCTTCTGGAGCTGATGTCTAGCTACTTTTTCAAGTTATTTTTTTATTTATTTTGTCTAGCTACATCTGCACATCATTTTTTCTGAACCTTCTGGACTCAGCATATCCAAAGTGTAGTAATACCCTTTCCTCCCTGTCAGCTGGGACTCCTGCCTTTCTTTCAGACATTAACACCTCTTGACTAGACTGCTAGATAGAATAGTCCAGGTCTTCCAGATTTTCTCTGATATCCCTCAAATCACAGAAACTATGGAAAGAACCAGAGGGATTAGCACTGATGCGATGAGTGAAGCTGGGACCTGGGGGGTGGGCTGGGTGGTCACGCAACCAGAAGTCTTGTGCTTGTTTTCCTCAGGAAACTGAGGAGAGAGCTGTAGAGGGATGGGCGCATCCCTCACGTCTCATCAAACCTGCCTACCAACCCTATAGTCTCCTCCCCTCTGGTCCTCAGGCCCCGCCCCTCGGGTCTCTTGCCCCGCCCACATGGCCTTGGGCTCCACCCTCAGGTTTTCTCTAGTCCTGCCCTTCTCCTCTGCATGCCCTACCTTTCCTGAGACCCTGACCCTTCCCTGCATTCCAGTCTGAGCCTAGAATGCCACATTGCTTACTTTCAGCGCACTGGGAGGATGAAATCCGCAGGGACCGAGTGGAACCCCAGAGTGTGTCCCTGTCGTGGCGGGAGCCTATCCCTGCTGGAGCCCTTGGTGCCAACAACACTGAGTATGAGATCCGGTACTACGAGAAGGTGAGTCAGGGGTTTGCATTGCCTGCAGTTGTCTGTCCTCTGGTCTACCGGGTTTCTTCCTTGCTTCTTTTCTAAAGGTGTGCACCAACCTCCTAAGTGACCTTCTGGACCCCTCCTTTCTGTTCCCCTCCACAAAATCGACCCCTCCCTCTATGCTGTTCTAGTCTCCATCACCACTAGTCGTCATGTCTCATGGTTGTCACCACGGCAGTGTCGTGTTTCCAGTTGACAGAGGTTCTCTAGGTCTAACTGAGGCTTTATGGGATAGAACCTTATACATGCAATCGGTGGAACCCTCTTGACGAAAAAAAAAGAATTTTCCCCTCCAATTTTGTAAAAATATATGACCATGTATGCACATTACTCAGTCCTGATTTGTGCTGGCAGATGTTTAACAATCAGCTCTCCAGGAAGATAAGTGTATGAATTATTATAAATTATGCCACTATAAAGTATGTGTAACGCATAACTTGCAAATGATAATAAAGTATATCATAGCATACCCTCTATTGGAAGCTCCATATACCCAATTGATTCTCCTAGAATACTTTCATTGATTTTTGCTGGCCTCTTGTATCTGTAGTCAATCTTTGTTTGCATTCCAACCATGATTTGACAAATGGGGCTATGTTTCAACCATTAACTCTTTCCCCCATAAATTTATTATGAAACTGCTTCAATCTGGTATGTAATTTGCTGTTAAGCTATTTCTCACCTTAGTGAGAAAGTATATTCATTAAATGAAACCCCTTTCAGCTTCAGCACTGTGTATGTCAGAGTTCCCCTCATTCCTCAGTGACAAGAAGGCAGGAACTTCTATTGGAAAAGCTTCATTCATTTCTTTGCTGACTCAGATAGTAGTTGTGAGTATCAGTTACCTTTTGAGAACTATGAGTGTGGGGGTGGACAGGAAGAAGGAGGGACTCCCGAGTCACTGACAGGTGTATAATCTGACATCCTAGAGATGATGCCTCTGGTTGATATGAAAAACCACGGAGGCGAAACATGCTGAGGGAATGGTGGTGAACTCCGTTTTGCTCATTTAGTATCCAAGGGCCTATGAGACATCCAGGTGGACTTGCAGGACTGAAGCTCAAGGGCAGTCAGAGAGTAAATTGAGGCTATTGTCATTGAGATGGTCACTGAAGGAGATGACCCTGGTGGGAGCCCTAGTGTTTAGGAGACGGCAGCATAGGACTTTGGAAAGAAGCTAGAAATGCAGCAAGTGCTTAGAAAGGGTCCATTGATCCAATAATCGGTAATCAGAGCATAGACAGACACCCACTCAAGGCTGAGCTGGGTGGATGTTGCAGGGTCCTTGCTAACTGCACCCTCACTTACCAGCTAGCTCTCCTTTTCCAGGCTTAGATCACCGGATCCTTATCCAAAATTGTGAATTTTCAGGTTTAGGGACTGTCAGAAGGTGAGTGGATGAGGTTGCCGAGTCAAAAAGAGGATCAAGTAGAAAAAGAGTCATATTTGAAAGATTGCCAGGAAAATGTCATGAAGCCCAACAACCAGAAGTGCGACTAGGCTACCTAGGTCTGCAGTGATGTCAAGGGGGCTTCTCAGCTCTATTTCTCTCTGCACGTCCACTGCAGCCTGCTCTGCAGAGACAGAGTGCATGCATAGCACTTTACAGTGGCCACAGGTGGTCAGCCTTACGCTCTGCGCCTCCTCCCACCTCCCACACGCTACCCTGCTCCCTAGTACTTCCGGTAACCATTATTATTATTATTACTATTACCTCTTTGCCTTTCCATGGCTTGCTTGTTCAAGTGCCTGGAAGGCCAATTCCAGTTGGCTGAACTTGACGCAAAGTCTGCCCCTAGTCCTGAATTCAGTAAAAACCAGGACCACAGAGTACTGGAGGCTGCCCTTTGAGGGGCTGTGATCAGATGAGAGCAGGGGCTGTAATCAGATGAGAGCAGGGGCTGTAATAGAGAGATGTGGGTAAAGACACAGAGCTAGTACATATGTGCTGGAGAAGGAATTGGGAAGTGTGTGTAGAACAATAAGCACTGATACTTCCTTGATGTACAACTCCATTTTAAGATTCACCTCTCTGAGTTTTATAATTTGTAGAGCAAGGATGCCAGTTTAAAGACTAAAGTGTACCTGATGCAAGCCATGAATCTTATAACAGAGGGATAAAAATATTGGCTCCATGCTGAAGGAGATAGAGCCCAGTAGTTGGCAATGAGTAGGTGTGCTGTCAAGGACAGCTGTTGCTGTTATAATGTTCCTATGGAGGACCTGGGGCAAAGCTCTTCACTTCTCTGAACCCAGTCTCTGTTAAACCAGCAATACCTCCGACTCTCCATGCCTTAACGGATAGGTGTGGAAATCAGATGACAAGTGGATACAGAAGTCTTGTGAACCTTCAAGGGTGGCCGGTTGTCAGCACTCATTTTCTCTGGAGCATTAGGCCCACAGGGCACTGACCAGTTCACCCAGGACCTCTATGTTCTGATGCCCATCATTTTCTCCCCCCTTTCTGAGAAGGCTCTCCCACTTTCCATAGAGTTTCTCTTACTTGGAGGTGTAGCTTGTGTTAGTTATAACCAAACGAATGTGGGAAAGAAGTGGGAACTTGTGATGGAGAATAAGATTGAAAATCCTATGGAAGAAATCTGTGTAAAGAAACCAGAGCTGCCACCCAAACATATACATGAAGAAAGAAAAAAAAAGAAATCTATGGAATTTCCCCACAATGCCTAGGGGCAAGGTCTTTCACCCAGTCCTTGTTTGGCTAGTGATGCTGCCCTAGCCTTCTGCCCCTTTCCCCCACTCTTTCAGGAGAGGGGTCTGACTCTGGGTCTGGGCTTCATGTCTCAATCCCTCTCCAGGGTCAGAGTGAGCAGACTTACTCCACAGTGAAGACAGGGGCACCTGCAGTGACCGTCACCAACCTGAAGCCAGCCACCCGCTACGTCTTTCAGATCCGGGCAGCTTCCTTGGGACCCTCCTGGGAGGCTCAGAGCTTCAACCCCAGCATCGAAGTGCAGACCCCAGGGGAGGGTAAGTGATGTGTACAAGTTGAGGAAGGCAAGCCTGGGCAGAGAGCGTCCTGGATGGGGTGGAGCAAGGACACAAAGAGAGAAGGAGATTGTGCCTAGTCCAATTAAGAGAGCTGCAGAACAGTTTAATTTCAATCTAATGCATGAACTCATCTGGACTCCACTGACTCCTCTTCATTGACATGAATTAGATGGACACCTGTCCAGAAAAAACTTGCTACTGAGGAACTTTTGACCAGCATTGACCTGTGGCACAGCTGGTGCCTCTCTGGCTCTTTTGACCTACCTGTGTCTGTGGAAACTTGTGCCCTCCCTGGGATTCCAGCCTTTCTCTTGGAAGAGTTGGCTGTGGGTTCATGGTCACCTTGGTCTCTGACTTCATGATTCATGTTCTCACTCTACTTCTTTCTCTCTGCTGGGATGTTGACCCCAGCATGGGTCACTGTCTCTTTACCCTCTAAAGCCTTGGAGTGTGGAGCTGACTTCACTGAAGGCAGGGATAAGGGGCATGAAGGGCCACTGCACTGCATCAGTCCATGAAACAAAACAAAAGGAGGTTTGTGCACTTTAAATGGGCGCATTGTCTAGTAGGTGGATTTTAGCTGAATAAAGCTCTTCTTATCAAAGCAAAACTAAACAAAAGCTGAACATGAGATCTGATCTGAGAACATCGCTGGCCTCCCCACAGTATTGTGCTGCCTTACTCCCACTCTACATTCCTTCCCTAGTGCCTCTCCCCACTGCTCACCCCCAAATTCCCTTCCAATATGTGTGCAGAGCAGTCTTGCTATCTCCTTTGTTGTTCTGTCTGCTGCTAACCCAGCCCTCAGGATCTCACCTCTATCTACCCGGAGCAGCTCATGAAAGTAGTTTCCTGAACAAAGGCAGTTCCCCCTAAGAGGCATTCTGGCAGCAGCTGTCAAGATAATAATTCTTTCCAACCTGCTACATGACTTTAATCCAAGATAGGAAGAGCTCTGAGCCCAAAGGGAAGTGAAGATAAAATGTTGAGGGAGTTTGAGCTCTGGGAAGGAAGACAGCACTTCTTGCTTGAATGCCTGTCTTGTGCCAGACCTTGGCCAGGTGCTGGGAAGAGGAGATTAGCGCGGAGTCTTGAAGGCTGGGGAACATTTGAATATGTGAAGATGGACAGGAAAGTCATTTTGGGTAGAAGAAGTCTTCTGAACAAAGGTTCATGAGGTTGGCTGGGGTGAGTGTGGAGGGGAGCAACTGAGGACTGTTAGCTGAAAAGGGCTGCTGATGTCCATTCGTTTGGTGCTTCTCCGTTAGAAGAGATGGCCTTTCCTTGTCCCCGAGCTCCCTTGCTGTGGCCGTGGCTATGGGAGGAGGAGATTTCTAATCTCTAGAACACTCTTTATAGTGAGCTCTGACCCCGACTTAGGCTCATGCTTCAGCGCTGTATTGGCCATCTATTTCCGCATAACATTAGCCCAGAGCTTAGTGCCCTAAAACCAAAGATATATATCCTCTTATAGTTTTTGTGATCAGGAATTTGGGTGCTGTTCAGTGAGGCGCCGTTTGCGTAGGTTCTCTACAAGCAGTGTCTGGGGTTAGGGGTTCAGGGAGCTTCATAGGGAGATGTTTACTAACGCAAATGCTGCGCCTGTGGAGCTTTGACTCCATCAGCGGCTCCTCGGCTCCTTGGGAGAAAAACGCACAGTCTCCTTCCATGTGATTGACAGCTTTGGACGGTCAACTCTTGAGTTGGTTCCAACTCCAAGACAATGACTGACTTTTTGAACTATCTCAGGTTTAACTGGGGGAGGATCTGCTTCCCTTTTCAGGCCCTCACTGCCTGTTTGCTTGAGACAACAGTTCTTGCCCCAAGGGCTTTTCCTTAGGGATACTTTTCGCATACTGAGTAGATTCTTTCAGAAATGGTGAGCAATTTGACAGCATCAGAGGGAGCCTAGGATCGGTAACCTCTTTCTTTTTGTAACCTATCCAAAGATAACGGGAGTTGGCGTGGCGTCGTCCATTGAGAATTGCACTACGAACCCAGAAGAGAAGAGCCTCTTCAGTGGCAGCTCTGCAAGAAGATCTCCTCCCTTGTGATTTCCTTTGGAAACACAATGGACGGTCAGCTAGGAGTTGATTCCTACTCACCAGCAATGAGAATAAAAGTGATCTCAGAAATAGCGTCTCATTGTTTCTGCCATGTTCTGTCCATTAGAAATGAGTCACTAGATCCAGCTTTCACTAAACGTGGCCAGAGCAAGCTGCTGGCCACACCTTAACCCCACTCTTAACTTCTATGCCCATGTATTCATGTCCTCAGTTCACAGACCTTGCAAATTCCGCTTTCCTGCCACAGGCAGTATCCTGAACCATGTCCTCTGCTTCTGGAACCTGGGGCTCTGAATTCCTCTCTCTGATCCTAGTCTCATTGGCCTCTAACTCTCCTTCTGTTCCTCCTCACTAGTCTAGAAACTCTAGGCTCTACTCATCTTCCAGGCTCCTGACCCACCTGGCCCCAAACCTCTCTCTATGAGGACATGACAGGTTACAGAAATTATCACCAGCTTTTACTCCCTGGCCTGCACTGCCCTGCCAGGTCCCTGATGTGGACTACTGTCCTTCTCCTGTCACTTGCTGAGGTCTGATGGTGCCTGGAGAAGTGTATTTTCCCACCTTCAGGACTGCTGGACACCTCCCTTGCATCCCCGCCTTCAACCCATGACCCGTTTCCCCTTTTTTCCTTGGTGGGAACTCTATGCATTGCACCCTAACTCCTCAGTCCTGAGGATAAAGTTCATACTCCTTAGTCCAGCATTCAAGGTCTCCCAAGTTCTCTCTCCTTCCCAAGTCCTCCCCATTCTCCCACATATCTCTCTACTGACCTGCCATTTCCCACATGTTGCCTGTGCATTGAAACATCATCAAAACCCTTCTCAGCTGTCCAAGTCCTATTCAGACAAACAATCCTGGGACCCTTCCTCGCTGGTTTAGGAAGATGTGCTCTGACCATGATCTCCATGTCTCCTTTCTCATGCAGCAGTTCAAATTCCTGTTCCTGTCTCCCCCACTGGCCCATGCCTTTCTATCAGTGTAGGGCCTTCTGGCTCTTTTCACTGCTGTCCCCCAGTACCAGCACCCGCCTGGTGCAGGGTGGGCATTTGCGAACGCATGCGGAGGTGAATGGGTGAATGGAGGGTACCGAGAGTCTGGGACCCCTGGACATCTTTCTCAGGGAAATAGTCTAAGACATAGACTTTGGAGTCAGGTGGAGGATTCTGGAGTCAGGTTCACATTTTGGGTTTAGTGTTTATTAGCGATGTGGCCTTGGACAAACTATACAACTCTTCTCAGTCTCAGTTTTCACAGCAGTAAAATGGAGACAGCACAACCTCATGGGATTTCTGATGATAAAATAAGATCCTATGTTTAAGGCACACAGCCCTGTGCCTTCAATAGAGTTAACTGTGCATTAATGTTAGCTCTCATTGTCCTTGTTGGTGAGCCATCTGGGCGGGGACGGGAGTTGAGAAAAACTCCAGCCAGAGGCCATTGGCCCTGCAGAGTCACTGTAAATCTCTTACTGCCCTGCTGAGAGGCAGAGGGGTGACCAGGTTTGTCATCCAGGACCCTTGCTCCCCTCCTCTCTGAGCTGGACAGCAGTGTATGTGCCCCACTTTGGGAGAGCAAGCTGTGCTGCTGTGGTCAGCCCAGGTCTCCCTGCTGCTGGAAGACAGCACCATATTCGGAGATGCTTTAGAGAACCCTGCCACGGGGTATGGTCAGGAGGGTGCCAACCTGCCTCAGCCCCATGGTTTTCCTCCAGCCACCTCAGGGTCCAGGGATCAGAGCCCCGCAGTTGTCGTCACCGTGGTGACCATCTCTGCCCTCCTCGTCCTGGGCTCCGTGATGAGTGTGCTGGCCGTGTGGAGGAGGTAGGTGGACAGTCCCAGCATGGTGAGCCCTTGGGGGGTGGGCATGGGGGGTCACACCCCTGTGCACCTGAGTGTGTGCTGGGGCCCGCTGGCTCTGTGCCTGGGGTGATTGGTTGCACACGTGTAGAGGTGCCATGCGAGCGCGCTGCTGTGGAGATCCAAGCGTGAGGAGTTGGCCCCTCCCCTCGCAGCTGTGGCAGCCAGCACTGCTGCCAGCTCAGCCGCTCTGGGATGAAGGGGATTTAGCTCCTTAACTCATTAAATGTCAGAAGGCATCACTGAGGGTGGCATCAAGCTCCGGCTGCTCCGGTGTGATTAGGATTCTCCTGAGGAGCCCAGTACCCACCCCCAGGCCCCAGCCCTTGCTCCCAAAGGATCTTGAGGCCCTTGAACACAGGCAAAGGGAAGAAAGGCAGAAATTGTGTGTCTGTGTGTGTACGTGTGGGAGGGAGGAGGACAGAAAGGGGAATTAATAAGTCAGAAACCCCTTACTCCCAGAGGAAAGATGCCTGTGGGGGAGTGGGCAAAGGGGGAGGAGGAGGAAAATGTGGTGCTTCTCTGGTTCAGAGAAGATTTCGGTCTTTGCTCACAGCACGGGCATTTAGCCCCCTCATGGCCCTGTTTCTCCCTCTGTTCAGGAACCCCCTCCACTTTACGCAAAGGCAGCCCCCAGTGGTTTCTAGCAGGGAGTGGAGGCCAACAGACTGGAGAAGCTCATGTGGGGGGAGCTGAGGGAAGACACGGCTGGTTTGGGAGCCACAGCTCAGCAGCCTGTGGGCTGGAGGGCTAGTGAGCATTCGTTTGGCCCTGACTGCTTGGCTATGAGCGAGGCATTGAGAGGAAGCGAGGAGATTAGACATGGTCTGGAGCTCTGCCTGGTGCAGGTGAGTCAGGGTGGCAGGCCAAGTGTGAGGAGCCCCTTCCTCACTGGCTTAAGTGACCCTGCCCTGGATCTGGGAAAGCCAGGGTTAGATAGGAGCCGAGAGCAGCTTGTCCTGGCTTTGAGCTCAGGGACCCCGGAGGACAGAGGGAGGTGTGGGGAGAAGTGAGCAAGCAGTATCTCCTCTCTGTGGGTCAGTCTTCAGCTGGCTGGAGCAGAGACCACAAAACAAGAGCAGCTGCCTAGGAACCTCTACAAGTAGGTGGGCTGGCGAAGGCAGAGCAAGCCAATAGTGGGCTTCAGAATTGTTCAAAACTAGGGTGCACTAAAATAGGGAGAATCAACCAGCCTAGCTCTGGTGGTGTATACAGTACATAGCAAGTTGTGCTGTTAACTCAAAGGCTGTCCTGGAGGTTCAAAATTGCCACTCATTCCATCAAAGACAGATGGACAGTGTCCTCTTCTTGTGATTTATGGCCTTGGAAGTCTGATGGAAGGGAGGATGCTGTGAATAGGAATCTACTTGACAGTAGTGAGTGCTGATGGACAGACGTACTTCTCCAGCATGCATGCCCCTCTGAGCAGACCTCTTACACTAGTGTGTTAACTGAAAAGTTGGTAGCCCAACTCCCCCGTGGGAGAAGGAGGAGGCAGTCTGCACAGCTGTACAAACCCTGCCGGACAGTTCTGCTGAGGCCCAGAGGGTCCTTGTGAGTTGGGACCCACTTGATGGGAGTGAGTTGGTCTTTCCCTCATAACTGTTGGTGACGTTGAACAGATTCCAACTTAGAACAGCTGTACATGTGCATTGCTCCATAGGGTTTTCAAGGCAGTGACCTTTCAGAAGCAGATTGCCTGTACTGTCTCCTGAAGTACCTCTGGTTGGACTTGAACCACCGGTCTTATCTGATAGTCACGTATTTAACCATTTGTGCTACCCAAGCACTCCTTGTGTCACACAATAGCTAACATTCAGCTCTTTGCAACAATGCTGTCAGGTTGTTGTTATTAGGTGCTGTCGAGTACTACTCATAGTGACCTTATGAACAACAAATCTGAGCCCTGTCCTATTCTGGACCATCCTTAGAGTCTGATACACCCGAACCCATTGCTCCAGTCACTGTGTCAATCTCCCTAGTTGAAGGTCCTCCTCTCTTTTGCTATCCTTCTGCCTTCTCAAGCATGATGTCCCTCTCCAGTGTTAATTTTTATTCCCATCTTATTAAAGGGAACACTGAGCCATCCCTGTCCTATAACTACTGGTTGGAGGAACTTGAAGCAAGTCCATTCAGCCAGATTCTAGGACCCATGCTGTTAACCACCAATCACAGCCACTTCATCCTACACCTCCTCAGTTTTCCACTGCTTCCTGTCATCATCTAAATGTGATCGAGTCTCTCTTAGGCTCTTTACTTTCTCTCTTGCCTGCTTTACCTCCTCTAGCCTTGGTCCCAGAACCTTTCCAGCCTCAGTGTCTTACATCCCTGCTAGTTACTTCTTAGTATTCTCTGTAGCTTTCTTCTCCTCTACTCAGCTTCTAAATGTTGGCATTCCTAAGATTTGTTCGCAATCTCTCTCTTTTCAGGCTCCGCACTCTCCCTGGGCAATGCTTATGGTTCCCATAATGGATCTTCAGAGCAGACCTCTCTCCCAAGCTGCAGACACACACATCTAACTCCCTTCTCATGAATCATCCCCACTTTGCTCATTGAGCTGATTTGTTGTTGTTGTTGATCACCTTCGAGTCCAGGATGACTCATAGCAACCCTATGAACAAAAGGCCTGAAGCCCCTCTACAACTATCGACATTTATCAGAGTTCACAGAGTTTCTGGAGGCTTGTTCTTTTTTTTTTATTATTATTATTTTGTGTGTGTATACCCTCAAATAGGATCTGACTGGTACAGGAGGAGATTGTCCCTCCTTTTCCAGCAGAGCATCTGGTGGATTTGAACCATGAGCCTCTGGGATTGCAGTGCAGCTTCTTGCCACTAGGCCACCATAGCTTCCCTCGGAGGCTTGTTTTTTAGGAAGTGGATGCCACTCCTGCTTCCAAACCTGTCATAGTATGTTATTGTTGTTATGAGCTGTTGAGTCGCCTGTGATGCATAGTGACCCTATGTACAGCAGCTCTGAGCCCTCCCCTGTCCTGAGCCAGTCTCCCTAACTCTGACGCACCAATCCCCATTGCCCCAGTTACTGTATCAGTCCATCTCATCCTGGGTCTCCCTCTCCTGCGCTGTCCCTCCACCCTTTGAGCATGATGTCCTTCTCCAAGGACTGATCTCTTGTGGCCACGTGCCCAGAGTAAGTGAGGTGGAACTTCAAAATCCTAGCCTCCAAGGAAAGACTTGGTTTCACCCTTTCCAAGACAGACCTATTTGTTTCCTTGGCAGTCCATGATATGTTCAAGACTCTTCTTCAACACCACAATTCAAAGGCATTTATTCTTCTTCTATAAGCCTTAGTCATTGTCCAACTCCCTGAAGCGTAACAAGTAATTGAGAAGACCATGGCCTGGATTAGGCGCACCTCTGTATATAGACTGACATCGTTGCTCTTCAGCACTCTGGAGAAGTCCATGCTAGCAGATTCTCCCAGTGCAATTCATCCTTTGATTTCCTGACTGCTGGTGTTAAGAATGTTGATTGTGGATCCAAGCAAGCTGTAACTGCTAACAACCTCAATCTCTTCTCCATCTATCATAGTGCTGACAATTAGCCCAGTGGTGAGAATCTTTGTCTTCAAGCGTCAATCCATATTGAAGACTACAGTCCTTGATCTTTTACAGTTAGTGCTTCAAGTCCTCCTCAGCTTCAGCAAGCTGGGTTGTGTCATTTGCATATCATAGGTTGTTAATGAGGTCTTCCTCCAATCCTGATGCTGCACTTCTCATAAAGCCCTGTTACCCGAATGATCTGTTCTGCATACAGATTGAAAAGGCACGGGGACAGGATACATCCCTGACACACTCCTTTCCTGATTTTGGTTTTTTCTTTTTTTTTTTTCTTTCCTGATTTTGAACCATGCAGCCATGAGCTGCAATGCGTAAGGTGCTCTGGACAGGATATTGAATGATTCAAGAAGCATTAAAAGCAGGTGGAAGGAGTATACAGTCATCGTACCAAAAAGAATTGGCTGACACAGAAGAATTTCAAGAAACAACATATAATCATGAAGCAATGGTGATGAAGGAGGACGTGCAGACTTCTCTGAAGGACTTGGCAAAAAAGCCCCAGGAATTGATGGAATACTAATTGACTTATTTCAGCAAACAGATGCTAGATGCTACCCAGCAGGTGCTCATCAAGTTGTGCCAGGCAATTTGGAGGACAACTACTTGGCCAACTATCTGGAAGAGATCCATATTTACCCCCATTCCAAAAAAAAGTGACCTGACAGAGTGTGGAAATTATCGAACAACATCACTAATATCATGTACTAGCAAAATCCTGCTGAAAATTATCCAGAAAAGACTGGAACAGTACTTTGGCAGAGAACTACCAGAAATACAGGCTGTATTAGAAGAGGTCATGGCACCAGGGACATTATTGCCAATGTCAGGTGGATCTTGGCAGAAAGAAAGAGTACCTGAGGAATGTCTGTCTGTGTTTCATTGACTATGCAAAGGCATTTGACTGTGTGGATCACAACAAATTGTGGCTAACCTTGAGGAAAATGGGAATCTCAGAGCACTTGATCGTGCTTATATGAAACCTATACTTGGACCAAGAAGCAGTCCTCAGAACAGAGCAAGGAAACACTTCATGTTCAAAATCCGGTGTTGGTTTAGTGGTAGAATTTTCACCTTCCATGCAGGAGACTCAGCTTTGACCCTCAGCCAAGTATGTGCCATGTGCAGCCACCACCCATGTGGCAGTGAGGCTGGCATGTTATTATGATGCCGAACAGGTTTCAGCAGAGTTTCCAGACTAAGATAGATTAGGAAGAAAGGCCTGGTGATCTACTTCTGATCCTCGCAGATCACAGGAGCGGCACAGGACTGGACAGCACACATTTCCGTGTCTGTGGAGTCATAGTAAGTCAGGGGATGACTCATCAGCAGTTTATGACGACAGCACTTATTGCACAGATTCTGCAAACTCAGTTGTGTAAACACGAATTTTTCACCTCCCTCCAAACATACTTTTCCCCAGCTCGGTAAATGGCACCACCTAAACTCTGCTAGACAAGTCTGTGAGTCACTCCTAACTTCTCCTCCCAAGTCCTGTGACTCCTGTCCCCTCAATCTCACATGTGCCCTCTTATTTCTCCCGTGCTCGCGGTTAGACCCAGGGCCTGTGGCACCACTGTCTCCTGCAAGGACAGCAGCAGCAGCAGCCACTTAACAGCCAGATGATCTTTCTAAACTGCAAATGGCATCTCAGCACCCCCCACTCCCAGCTTAAATCCACACAGGGACTCTCCTCTGCTCCCAGAATAACAGCCACAGTTTTTATCTCCTCCCAGCAAAGCCCTGCCTCAGACTCCCCACCTCACCCCAGAAATGCTGGTCTGTGACATTCTGGCACAACCCTTTGGCCTTCTTTTATCACTGGTCTGGGTCAGATCCATCTATGTCCACTTATAGTATGGCAGCTTTTCGTCCTCCTTAGGCTGGAAGCCCCCAGAGCGCTGTCTTGTTCCTGCTCTTTGACCAGTAGGGAGACAGGAGTGAGATGGAGGCCTAGTCAGTGGTGTGGATTTGAATGCCTCTGGAGTTGCAAGAATTGTCATTGGGCCCTAATGTGAAAATAACTAATATGCTCATAGGGTGGGGCATGGGTCTGGGTCTGGGGTCATATGTGTGTTATGTGAAGGGGCTTGTCAGACCAGTGAGAAGCTTGCAGGACAAAAAGGTCCCTCAGGGGGACACAGATGTTGTGCTGTGCACAGTGCTGGTGAGATGGGGAGGGCAGGGGCGCCCTGGCTCTGAGAGTGGCTGTGTCCCCAGGCCCTGCAGCTATGGCAAAGGAGGTCGCGATGCCCACGATGAAGAGGAGCTGTATTTCCACTGTGAGTCTGGCTGGGGCCCTGGCCTCCACCTTCCCTCACTTCCTGGCCCACTTCTTTGTCCCCACTCTTCTGTGGTGGAGGTCCCTTTCCTCATCTCTTTCTCATCTTGTGTCCCCAGTCAAAGTCCCAACTCGCCGCACTTTCCTGGACCCCCAGAGCTGTGGGGACCCACTGCAGGCTGTGCATCTGTTCGCTAAGGAGCTGGATGCAAAAAGCGTCACACTGGAGAGGAGCCTTGGAACAGGCAAGCTGGGCACCTAACAGCCAGTCTCCCCTGGGAAATTTTGTCTCCATTCAGTTCCCGCCCCGTCTCTCTAACTCCACCCGAGTCCCAATTTACCCAGAAGCCGCTTCCAGCCTCCACCCCACAGGTCATCTTGGAAGCCTTCCTCCACAGCAAGGCCACCTCTACCTGATTCCAGGGAAGGCGTAGCGGGCCTGGGCCTGGTCTTCCCTCTCTCATTCCCTTGGTCACTGCCTTCTCCATTCAGGTCCCTTCAGGGTGGCCTGTGCAGACTGAACAGTTTCCTGGTGCAGTAGGGAGGGGTCCTTGTTGACTTGGGGACCAGACACACCTGCATTCTAGTCCTGGCTCTGCTGGTTTCTAGCTACATGACCAGGGACATGCCCCTTTCTCTGCCGAGCCTCAGCTTGTCCTCTGTGAAATGGGCATGTTATCTGCTCATCCTGGGCTGAGGCGGAGCTGGCTCACTTAGTTTCCTGCCTTACTTTCTTTCCTCTGTCAGCCCCCCGCCTCCTGTGATCATAGAAGGTAGGCTGCTGTCAACAGCCCCTAATGCTGTTGCCAGGCACAGTCATGTTATTGACGTAGTTTCATGTCTTTTGAAGCTTGAACATGTGCAGTGTTCTCTCTTGACACTTTGGAACTTCCCTGTGAGTCAGGCAGGCCGGACTGTTGTCCCCATTTTACAGAGAAAGAAAGTGAGGCCAAGAAAAATGAGGTTCAGAGTCACTCAGTGTACTGGGATCTAGAGCCTTCAGCCCAGAAACAGCCCAGGACCCAGAAGCGGCCTTCTCCTCTGCTCACCCTGCCTGGGTCGGCACGGGTGGGGGGCCTCCAGGGTTTCGGTGTGCTGTTTGCCCACAGGCCGCTTTGGGGAGCTGTACTGCGGGTGCCTGCAGCTTCCCGGCCGCCAGGAGCTCCCGGTGGCTGTGCACATGCTGAGGGACGGCTGCTCGGACTCGCAGAGGCTCAGCTTCCTGGCCGAGGCCCTCACCTTGGGCCAGTTTGACCACAGCCACATTGTGCGTCTGGAAGGTGTTGTCACGCGAGGTGAGTGACCACTTCCCACTGCCCAACCAAGGGATGCAGGGACATGAGTGGGGAGAAGTGGACACTGCTGTCCACCTGGGGACCCAGCTTCCTTTCCCTGACTCAGAATGACTGGCCCTTTAGACCTGGGGTGGCCTCACTAACTGATATTTCTGACTTGTGATGATACTCCAATGGGGTGGACAGTCCTCTCCTTGTGTGCCATCACGTTGGAACCAATGCAGAGCTGACCTTCCAGAAGGTTTTCAGAGGCTGTAAGTTTCACAGGAAGAGCTTGCCCATCCTTCTTCTGTAGAACAGCGGTGGATTTGAACCATATTCCTTTAGGATTGCTGTGCAGTTTCTTGCCACGAGGGCCACAGGGCTCCCCTCCTTAGGTGACCTTTCTTAATAAAGTTTTTATCACTCCTGACCTTTGTTCTCTCATAAATGATTCCTCTTCTGCTCCTCTCATAGCAGATACTAGGGCCAGACATAGACTGCATGTGGCAAGATTAGGAGGGCTTGGCCTTGGCTCTGTGCTGTTGGCCCAGGCCGGGACCTGGGTCGGGGAGCATGTGTGCGCTGAGTAGAGCACCTTAACGCGTGTGTGTCCCCCTTCCCTGAACACAGGAAGCACCTCGATGATCGTCACCGAGTACATGAGCCTCGGGGCCCTGGACGGCTTCCTTAGGGTGAGCCCTGGCCCTAGGGTGGGGTACTGCTACTTGTGTTGTTCTTGGTTCTTCACTTTTTTTTTTTTTTGTTCCCTCACTTTTCTACTGGTCATTCCTTATAAAACTCTACTGGCCAGGCTTGCCAGGTGGGTCACAGGGGTAGGCTGGAGCTCAGAGAGGTTTTTCTGAATGACTCTCCTGGGGCCACCCAGCACCAGAGGAACCGAGTGTGCGACCTCAGCCTCATTCTCTCTCCTTGACAGCGGCACGAGGGGCAGCTGGTGGCCGGACAGCTGATGGGGCTGCTGCCAGGACTGGCGTCGGCCATGAAGTACCTGTCAGAGATGGGCTACGTCCACAGGGGTCTGGCAGCACGCCGCGTGTTGCTTGGCAGTGGCCTCTCCTGCAAGATCTCTGGCTTTGGTCGGGGACCCCGGGACCGGGCCGAGGCTGTGTTCACCACCATGGTGAGGATCTCTTCCTCAGCCAACTTCCCTCATCATTACTTCTCCCATTAACTACCAGAGTCCCACCTCCCCAGGCCTGCTATATGGGGGCCACTCCCACTGTCCCCTCACACAGTTGGTCCTCAGAAAATGCCGGGGAGGATTCCCCTGGGGGATGGGCTTGTGGGTCTTCCCAGAGGTGATGCTGCAGTTGGTTTGGCAGTTTGTCTTGGGAGGACAGGGGTTGCTGATCTGGGGCTCTGTGGGCTGTGGATGGAAGTGACTGTTGCTCCCCGTCTGCTTATCTGCCCGCAGAGTGGCCGGAGCCCAGCTCTGTGGGCTGCTCCCGAGACCCTTCAGTTCGGCCACTTCAGCTCTGCCAGTGATGTGTGGAGCTTCGGCGTCGTCATGTGGGAAGTGATGGCCTTTGGGGAGCGGCCCTACTGGGACATGTCTGGGCAGGATGTGAGTGACCTGTCATCCCAGCTCCCGACCTTCTGATCCTCTAACCTCTGACTTCCTCATGCCAGGCCTCTCTTCTCTGTCCATTTGCTTTCTCTTTACCTGCCACCTCCCCTTGCCCGGTCACGACCTGGGCCCTCCTTGGGATGTGTGTGTGTGTGTCCTAAAGCCTTCTGCCCTCCCCCCTCACACTGTGGCATAGGTGATCAAGGCAGTGGAGGATGGCTTCCGGCTGCCACCCCCCAGGAACTGCCCTTTGCCCCTGCACCGACTGATGCTTGACTGCTGGCAGAAGGACCCTGGTGAGCGCCCCAGGTTCTCCCAGATCTACAACATCTTGAGCAAGATGGTGCAGGACCCAGAGCCCCCAAAGTGTGCCACGACCAGCTGCCCCAGGTACCACTGACACGTCCCTCCCTCCCTTGTCTGTAGGTTCTTTCCTTAGTGCCCTCACCCACAGCAGAGAGAGTCAACCTCTCACTCGCCGTGGGTGCCCTGCCTGCCTGGCCAGGCACGGCAGCTCATCAGGTGGCCACCAGAGCTAGGACTCACCAGCTGCTCACCCACACATCTGTTGGGCTGGCTGTTGTCCTTTTTATCCCAGCATTGGCTGGATTAATGTAGTTCCAATAAATAAAAGAAGTGAAAGTGATATTAGTTGTCCCAAGCACAGGCCACCTCTTGTCCTTGGCCTGTTCTCCCTGACTGATCTAGTACCCTTGCTTCCTTTAACTGCCTCAGGCGCAACCCTCTGGCCCAGTCTCTGAGCCCTAGAGCCCTCACCTGCTTTGAGCATGCCTGGCACCTGTGTGTGAGCCACCTGCATCAAGTGTCCCCATCTCCTGTCCTTGAGCTGGTCACTCCTCAGGGGAGCTACCAGGTCAGCCCTGCTGCTGACTGATCACAGCTCCTCTGACCCCAGGCCCCCCACCCCACTGGCGGACCGTGCCTTCTCTACCTTTCCCTCCTTTGGCTCCGTGGGTGCGTGGCTGGAGGCCCTGGACCTTTGCCGCTACAAGGACAGCTTCGCTGCAGCTGGCTATGGGAGCTTGGAGGCTGTGGCTACGATGACTGTGCAGTGAGTCTGAGTCGAGAGAAACCCGGGGCTTGGGGACTCAGGCGCTCCCTGGTGCTCCCTGCCTGTGGGAAGCTCCATCCTGCCCTGATGTGAGGCCTTGCACTGTCTGGAAACAGAGAGGGACAGCTTGTGCAGAGAGAGCTTCCTGGGGGGAGCAGCGGGTGGCCAGGCCTCTGCTGACCATCCTTTGTTTACAGGGACCTGGTGAGCCTGGGCATCACGTCAGCTGAGCATCAAGAGGCCCTCCTCAGTGGGATCAGCACCCTGCGGGCACAAGTACTTCAGCTGCAGGGCCAGGGGGTACAGGTGTGAGCGACCCACATTCTGTCACGCCAGGACCTCAGTGAGGGTCCAGACCGCCACCCCTGTCCAAGGATGCTGGCCAGCAGCTCACGGCAAGGGAGCATTCTCTTCCTCTGCTCAGACACAGAGCTTGTCTGGGGCCACAGCTTCCCTCATTTCACTGCCTACTTTCCCCGTTATGAATGTGTCAGCTAATTTAGCTCTCCCTCAGTACACTCCCCTCCCTGGGAAAAAGGCTCAGATTCCCAGGGAGGACCCCTGAGATTAAAATGTGGCAACAACCAGGATCTCAGAGCTGGAAGCAGGGACAGGTAGGGAGAGAGCAGACAGACTTCCATCACCCTCAAGCATCGGTCTTCCATACCCATTGAGTTTGTCCTGAAGGATGCTCCTTTCCCTGCAGGCACATTGAGAAGCACCAGTGAGCACAGCTGCCTGGTGCTGCAGGCTTGAGAAGCAAGGCTGAGGGATAGGTTGTGGGCCTGGGCTGGGGGCCACCTGGGCACTGGCCCCTGAGGTTCAGGTAGGTAGAGATGGTGCTGAGCTCAGGGGCTGGACCTTGAGGGCCACGGATGCAGGAGCTCAGTTCTGCTTTCCCTGCTCTTAGGCTGACAGCTCAGGGTGAGGGTGGAGGTCCTGGCCAGGCCACTCAAGGCCCTGGTGCTTGCCTGGGGCTCCACCAGTTCTCTTATTACATTTCTTTTACAAAGTCACTGGCCAGGACATCCTGAGAGGAGGTGTTTTCTCTCTAGAGACCTCAGAGCTTTGCTTTCCATCCATAGCAGATGGTAAAGAGAAGATTTTTGGAGCTGGACCTTCTCTGTCTAACAGTCTGGTCCAACTCCCCACCACATCGATGGGGAGGAGTTGTCAGAGCTGGACATAGAACTCATATTGTCTGGTTCCCAATCCAGGCATGAGAGTGGCTGTGGAGAGAGTCTTTGATCTTGCCCTGTGGCACCAACACTTCCTCAGGCAGATCAGGGGTGTGGTAGAGGGGACTCCCTCCTACTGGTTCCTTCCCAAGCACCACCCAGCCTCCGCCGAGGGGTGCTGATGCCCCATGGCTCCTCTGCAGTTCTGCCAAAGTGGCTGCGCTGAGCTGACTCCCGAGTTCTCTTATCCAGAATGACTCTGTTATCCTGCAAGACCAGAGCTTTGAGAGGGCGGCCAGAAGGCTGCTGGAGCTGTGCTGGGTCAGCCCAGGCCATCCTTGAGAGATGCCTGTTTGGGTTTGGCTGGGTGCAGGTAGGTGAGGTGTGATGGGGCTTCAGAGGAAGTGATGCCAGATGAAAGGAGGCTGTAGCTGGGGGGGCTTACGCCAGGCCCAGGCGTCCAGGAATCATACCTTCAGACAGGCCCAGGGAGAACTCTGGTAGCAAGGGGAGGGATGGTCACCCATAAAGAGTGAGTGTGGAGTGGTGCGGCAGGTTGAGGCGTCAGTTGAACAGGGCCTTGGAGGGGAGTTTCTTTCTTTAGGGTGGGAGTTTTCAGCAGGCAGCTGGGACCCTAGGACACCCAGAGTCCTTGAGGGGCTGGTAGATGAGGTAAAGGCTGGGGGACAACACATCCCCAAGGAGTGCAGGTGTTTGGACGGCCGTTGGCCTCACCCAGTCAGCAGCAGCTCTTTTCTCCTTGGGGTCCCCCACCCACCCACCCTGTTTCCTATCTACTGAGAACCTGCTCTAGCTCAGGTCAAGGTGTCTTCTGCCAGGTGCTTTCTAGGCTCTGCCCTCCCCCCTCCACCTTTCCAGGACACCTGGAAAGGACACGGCTTTGGGGCCAGCATCCCCCATTATGGACAGAGGGAGCCCCATCCCTATCTTCAGACTCATCAGTCCTTCCCTGAAGGTTCATCCTTGCTGTGTCCTGCAGAGGGGGTCCCTGGCTGTGTTGACAGGACTTCGGTGTCCAGGGTAGATCTCCCCTCTGCTGAGGAGTGAGGTCCCAGAATTCCGAGCGCTCCCAGGCCCAGCCCTGCACAGGTGCCACGTGATGCGGGGCGATGGCCCCCTGGGAGCCCCTACAGATCTATTTTTCTATGGAACTTGTTCACTAGACAGCGGAAGGCGGCCTGCAGCCCCCGACCCCCTGTCTGAGCCCACCCAGGGAGGGAGGGGGCTGGTTGGGGAGGTGGTTCCTTTGGCTAATTCTGGAAATGTTTTTATATTTCTTGGGTTCTGTATGCAGGACAAAGTAATAAAAACTTGTCTGTGATACAGCACCTCTTTCAGGCCATTTCAGCCGTTGAGCAGTTTGGGTGGGAGGGTTTCTGCACTTGCCTCCTGCACCCCTGGGGGTTCTCCACCACTTGTGTCTGGGATCTCTGTATAGAGGGGTAGCAGACTTGCTCCCTGCCCCTCATGGGGAAGGGAGAATGAGTAATGGGAGAGAGATATTGGGTGAATTGCTCTGTGAACATCCACACCAAAAGAGACGTGCAACCAGGGAATGGAAGACATCCCCCCCATCAAGTACACACCCCAACGTGTAACAGTGCCTGGCACACAGTAAGTGCCCACTTTGTGTTGTCAGTAATGTGTAAGCACCAAACTGCAGATGTATATAGTCAGAAATTGAAACTAAGTGCTCTGGGTATTGAAATCCCTGATCCTCAGGTTAGAGAAGAAATGTAAACATTTAAACAAGTGCCTGCTTGGGAGGCAAGCCTGAGCAGTTAAGTAGCTAGGTCTCAGCAGTGCATTGTGAGAGGCCAAGGCCTAACGTCATTGCTGAGGTTTTAGAAGAGAGCTTCCCCCTGACCTGCTCCTTGGGTGGTGTGAGAGGCTCCCAAGAGACAGGGTGGTGTCTTCACTGGTGACTGAATTCAGGACTCGGGGGCGGGGGGGCTCTCCCATCACCCACATCACACTGCTCAGTACACAATTCTTACATTACAGCCACCATTGGCTGTCGATGCTCTGCCTCAGGACGACCTCACATGCATCAGTAAACGGCTCCGTAGTTTTCAGTGGCTGGCTGTTTGGAAGTAGAACTCAGTCTGTTTTCCCAGGCACCTCTAGGTGGATGGCAGTCTTGGGCCTCTTGGCCAGCAGCTGAGTGTAGTAACCATTTGCATCACACAGGGGTTCCAGCCATACAGCCTCTCCTCTCCAGACCTCTTTACCCTTTTGCCATTTAAACCCTGGCTCGTGATGCCCAGCAACATCTTGGTAGCAGATTAGGTTTATCTCAAGCCCCAAGGAATGTTTTAACCAATATGGCTAATCTAAGTAAAAGAAAAGCGTGAAAATATGAAATGTCTTTCCCCATTGCAAATACTACATCCCTTCTGAGTTCATACTTCATCTTTGCCCCCACTCTTCCCTCCACCATAACAACTCTTGACAGCCGGCTGGGGCATTGTTAAGAAAGTTGAGTACATTTGCCAACGTGACCTTTATACTGAAGAGTTGAATCCTTGGGGATCTTCACCTGTCTCCATCCTGATGGTTCTTGGCATATTGTGACACACAGCATGTGCTGTGGGCACTGGAAATTTGCAGATGGAGCTGGGCTTTTGATATCTTGGTGCCAAAGGTATGGGTATGTCCTTCACCACATTCAATATCTGAGGGTCAGAATATGTCAGCCCTGCGGACCCTATGTCAGCTCAGGAGCACCAACCAAGTGCCGCAGACTGCAGGTGCACATTACTGTTGGTGGGATTTTGGGGGGTTTTGTGATAAAGTGGTTATAAACTGAGCTGCTGTTGAGTTCCTTCACATCATCCCTGTAGAACAGGGTTCCCAGGGCTGTAAATCCTTACAGAAGCTGACAGCCACTTTGCAGTGGAGTGGCTGGTGGACTTGAACCACTGACCTTCAGTTAGCAGTGGAGTGCTTTACAACCTAAGGATTATAACACCTACTGCTGCCGAGTTTTCCTCCCTAGGAGCAGGTAGTGGACTTGAACTCTCAATCTGATGCTATACTATGCCACCAGGGGGTTCTTGGAGGGTGGGAAACACCTAATCCTGGAAAGGGAGAAGCCAATGAGTCAAAGCAAATTGGGTCCCAAATTCCTATTTGGTTCTTTAGGGGGTAGAGGAAGCTGCTACTCGTTGATTATGGGATTGTTGCCAGACCTGACTTTTTTTTTTAAAAAAAATGAACTTCCCTTTTAAATGGTTAAACTGAAGCTAAATTAAAACAAATGGGTTAAAAGTATAACTACAGGCCCTTTGGGTTTGTGGACTGACTGATTTACATTTTCTTTGCAACATCCTGAGCCTGGGGGTGTGGTCCACAGGGAGTTGTGCTAACCCAAAGGTGGCACTGGTCTGGCAGTTCAAATCCACAGGCGACCTCCAGGTGGAGATGGGCCATCTCCTCCCACAGGGATTTACAGCCGCCCAGAAACCTGTTGGAGCAGCTGTGCATGGGCTCTGACTCGGTGGCAAGGAGTGAGTTCTGTCTCAGCTCTGCTAGTTCAGACATGATCAAAATCCTGCGACAGGGAACTGATTTCCTTCTACATCAGCTCCTTGTGCAGAATGAAGGCCTCCTCATCTCAGTTCCTCACAGGCATTTTTAGGCACCTGCTGCATATGATGCCTTTTCCACAATTAGGCTCACTCAGGCAGTGGCGAAATGGAGTGAAATAGGGTGAGCCTTGCTCTGGGTAAAGCATGTTGGAGCTGGGTTCCTTCTTATAACTGATAAATGCAGAAGCCTTAGGCTTAGTGGCTTTGTAAACTGGGTTACATACTTGAAATGCGGTAATTCAAATGCTGTCACTGACCAATGGGCTCCTTCTTAGTAAACCAGCTGACCTGGTTAACTGATGCCCCAGCTTGTTTCCTTCTCAAGCAGAACCCTCTTCCAGGCCAGTCGTCTCCAATGCAGAAATAAGTCTAGGCAGGCAAATCTTCCAGACTCCACTTCTCTCTTTGGGAAGTGAGGAAAAAATTATGGAGTTAACCTTACGCCTTCTTAGCTGAGACTTGACTCTACAGGGAAAGTACTGTAGGTTCTGTCCTCTCAGATGTCCGTTTCTAGCTCATAGAAGGGAGGTGTTTGGAGAAACTGCTTGGAGATGGAGGTTACCCGTGTCATGGATCTTGGGGTGATGGTGCTCTCCTTCAGCTGTCAGATTCTGCCTAAAGCAAAGGTTTTCCCACCTTAGGAAAGTCGTAAGGTGGATTCCCGGCATGGACTTCCTGTAGAGATGACAGGCAGACTGAGTATCAATAAAAACCCCACAATTTATTGAAATCAGGGTAACTTTAAGTACTCTGATAAAAACAAATCAACTTAGAGTTACTATAAATCAGGAAAACAGTATGTACAAGTCTTAGGCAAGAGAGGAATAGCTTGAACAGAACTGGTCTACTAAAATGGTCATAAAGAAACAGTAAGAGTCATTCATGAGTAAATTGATGTACTTTAAGCCTGAGGGGGGTCGTGTCCCCATATTCTTGGAACATGTCCGATGGTTCCTTGTGGCAGAGGCTGGCTGGAGACCTCCTTGCCACAAGTTGATACCTGGTCCCCTGGTAGACCCCACAGGAAAGAAGTGCTCTTTGCTGAGACTATAGACCTGGCAGGGGCCGCTGGACCATGGATGGCTGGTCATGTAAAAACCTACGACAATCTGAGCTCTCCTATTCCCTTACCCAAATTCCCACCACTAAAGAGGTAGAGGAGCAGGACTTGGAAGCTGCCTCCAAACCAATTTTTGGTCTTCAGTAAAAAGGGATAAATTAAAAAAGAATAAAGAGATAAACACAACACTTTCTTAAAAGTCACAGCTATTAGGCATGGCAGGTAAGGTTCCGTTGCGCCGTGCAGTTTCCATCACAGGAGAAAGGAGCTGGGTGTGGGAGGGCTGAGGTGTGCACGTCTTGTTCAGTCCCTCCCAGCTTCCTGGATTGCTCTCCTGCGACCCAGAGTGCTTGCTTCTCTGAGCCTCCCAGCTTTTAACGTACATAGAATGGAAATGCCAGGCAGAATGTTCCCTGATGAGAGGAAGTAGGCAGTTTTTTTCCCAGAACATGAGGCTCTTCCATCCCACCTCCACTGGAGGTAGGGCAGGGCAGAGAGGGGCCGCTCAGCAGGCAGTAGGTCTGAGGGCAGGAAGGAGAATTCAGCGGGGAGAATGATGGGAAGCTCTGATTTCAGAGATGCACCGGCGAGTGTCTGGGGTCACTGAGGTTGGGAGACGTGAGGCCGGAAGCAGCAGCAAAGCTGTATCTAATGAAGGGGAACAGTGTGTCTCCAGCATGTTCTCTCCCCAAACTTCCTAAGGATAACACTCAAAGAAACAATAAGGCTGAAGGGAAGAAGTCTCTCGAGGGTCATCTGCCTTGGCATCGTGGAAGAGCTGCCTCATTTGTGTGACTGTAGGCTCTTGCAGATCTCAGCAAGGCGACTCTGAAGGAAAAGGAGAGGGGGGTGGTTCAGAGAATTTGGCGTGCTGGCCCCGTTAGCTGTTTCAGGCCAGTCAGTGGAACTGGAGCCAGCTGGGTCTGCGAAGGAATTCACAAACCTTTCTGAACCTCAATTTAAAAGAGAATATCCTAAATGAAGAACTGAAGGTATAATTTGGGAGCATTTATATTCTTATCTAGCTAACAACCATCATAGGATCTAAGTGGCTTCTAGCACTGGGTTCAGGAGGATATGCTTAGAAAGTCACCTCCACCATGGCCCCCTGCTCCTTCTTAGAACACACAGAAGGTGAGTGGAGGCAGCCCTGTTTGCACCAAGTGTCCCATCCTAGGCTGTCAGAACCAGGTGTGGTCACCTGACTAAAGCTGAGGCAATTAAACGCCTCCTCTTAGATGGAACAATGGAGTGGGAAGTGTGGCACCCAAAGCCACATATAATGTTAAGGAACATGAGAACCACGATTCTTGTGGTGATGAACTGCCAGGAGGATGGAATAAAGATGTGCAAAATGAGTGCATGGACCCTGAAGACAGAGAAGCTCCAGTTGTGGGTTGCACTAAATGAGGGTCCATATACTCGTACTCCTGAGGTCCTGGCCTCTCTAGATGGCTGACTATTCATCCCTTTGTTGCTGAGAGAGTCCATACAAACTCTCTTTACTTTCTTAACTATTGTGAATTTCAGTTCCTGGCAGTAAACCATGTCCCAAGGACCCTGCCACTCACTGCCACAGGAGATAAAATTTTTATTCTATTGTAGAACTTCTATTGGAGGCAATTTGAGATATTACTTTAGGGGGAGAGCTGGTGTAATGAAAATAGGCCCCAAGTCAAAATCCCTTAGGAAAATTAGGCAATACAATTCTTATAAAGCATCAGCGCAGACTCAAAAGGCAATCCGATGCAAACCGAAACTAAGCAAGCAACTGTGTGGAGATGACAAAAGGAGACTTACGGAGAGTTTCTTAACATTTCCCAAGGCCTCTGGGTCCAGCTGTGTGAAATCCATCCTCCGCAGGTCACTGGCCGGTAGCCGCATGCTCTGTGTGGAAGGGAGCATGTCATGCCCTTTAGGGCAGGAATCCCCTGCTCTGGTAGCCCAATAGCATCCCCTTGATATTCTGCACTTGGTGGAGGGGAATGGCTGGGATGGAGAAATCTAAGGCAGGCAGGAGGGGGTGTCAGCACTAAGGAGACAGTGACTCAGTCAGGAGCTAGATAATCCAAGTGCAAAGGCAAGCACATTCATAGAAGAATCTGTCAGGCCATGCAGAAGATAAACTATCTTTCCCTCAAAGGAGCTATGCTTCCAACTTGCTCAACTCAGTCCAAGGGAACTGGGAGCAGCCTGCTTCAGAACCCCTTCAAGTTACAAAGTGCGTGAAGGTGCACTCAGGTTTCCCCTTTTAGACTACACACACAGGAAGGTTTTCTCCTCTCTGCTTCAATCAATGTCTCTCTCCCTGCACCCATCACATGATGCTGTAGGTAACTGTGTACTTGTCTTCCTGAGTATTCAACCGCTGTCTCAAGGGCAAGAAGCATGTCATGTACATGTTGGGCCTGCTACGAGACAGGTGGGCAAATAGTTACTTGCTGAGAAACAGAGTTGGGCAAAGAGCTTTCCTCCGCAGGCCCTACGACAATCACAACCTCTGTGACCAAAGGAGTCTGAGGGAGGGAAGGGGGTTAGAGACCCGGGGAAATAACGCCTGGCTCCACAGCACGGTGGCCTGGCTTCTCTCTGCAGCACTTCACCTCTCCGCCTCCCACCGGCACAGTGAGGAAGATCTCTTTGTTGTCGGCGAGGGGGCTGCCGTTCACAGAGATGTTGTAAATCCGCTCTCTGGCTGCTGGGGTGCGCAGCCCTGGAGTCTTGAAGACCCTGGAAAGTGAGAAAAATCTCTGTGAAGATGGTTTGGCAGTTTGAATGACACCGGGGTCTTCCAACCCCCATCTGGCCTCAAGTTCCATTTCTAAGAAGGCAAGTTCTAAATTTGGGAGAAAACTGTTTTTTAAGCAGTAATGACTAAACACAGCTGGAGAAAGGAGGCTGTAATTATCACACATCCATCTAGCTGAAGTTAATCTGCAGCCATGTAAATTTTAGGTCCATAAGCCCCAAATGGATGCCAGCCATCCACAAAGCCAGAAATAAACTGTGGTTGATGTATTTTCAAGAGTGCCTGAGTGTCTCCATCCATAAAACTTTGCCAGGGTCAAAGGAGGATGATTTGGACATTTATTATTATGTTAATGCCCCAATTTAACTTTACTAAGGCATTTAAATGCTGTTACCGGTTTTCCTCTATATGTCCTTATTAGGCTCATATGAAAAATAGTAGTAAGGAGAGAGAATTCAATAAAAACTTAAATCTCCCTCCTTGCTCCCACCCCAGGGAGGACCACTTTCCATTCAGTTTGTTGTGTATCCTTTCAGAAACTTCCTATACACATAAAAACAAATGAGATCTTACATTACACACATCTGCAACTTGCTTAGAGATGCTCCACGATCATGAAGATTTAACCCTCTCAGCAGGCATGGCCCACTTATTTCTTTTTGGTGGCTACATAGCTTGTCTTATGAAAACTACTGAAGTCTGTTTGCAGAACAGGTTAATGTGTTCTGGAGCTAAATGAAAGGCTGCAGGTCAGGATCACTCAGAGTGGCCTTGGAAGAAAAGGCATGGTGACTGAATTCCAACAATCAGCTGCTGAAAACCCTACGGAGACCACGCAACTCTGACATACCAGGGGTTGAGGGACTGACTCGACAGCGACTCGTTTTGGTCTGAAAGGTGTCATGGTGCAATAACATCCCTATTCAGGTTGCCCTCTAAAAGGATGGGATCAATTATCCCCATGGGTATAAGAAAGTGCCTACCCATTTAAGAGGGGGTGGTGGTGGTCCACAGGAAAGACCTCTCAAGTTACACAGAAGCTTTCAAGGAGATGCTCTCTTCTCTCTCATCATATAAAGAATTACTTAGTACTGAAAATGGGTGAGGATGTAAGGCCCCCCTCGAGGGCAAGGCAAACATTAGGAAACTCAGACACTTGCTGTCTTCTGCGATGGCTTTTCAGAGGCTAAGGAATCAGGCCTATTTACTACTTTTCTGATAAATGTTAACTCTGAGCTTTCATTAAATCAAAGGGCTGCTGTATTACTGACCTTGAATCAAACCTGGGTGTTACGCCTGGAGTTGGTTTAATCATAGACAGCTCCAATCGGCTCACAGCTGGGGTGACAGTGTTACCACGGCTTGACCTACAGGAAAGAAACAGCCAATAGGTAGCCAACTCTCAGGTCCACAACAGTAGAAGCAAAGGCAGCTAATACTTGGAGAGAGCACAGTGAGGGCAGTGCATTTATCCTCATTTCATAGATGAAATGATGGAGTTTAAACTACTTGGCCAGATCACATAGCTATTTAAAGCAGTCAGAAATGTGAACCCAGGAGATAGACCTTAACAGTCTGCAGATTTCCTCAGAGAAAGTTCAGTCATTTAGCTAGTTACAGTCCCACTATTACTGCTCAGAAAGAAATAAGGAGTCTCCTCTTCACAAACATGCATTTCAACCACTATTCCTCTAGGTTTGTTTGAGATGCCTAAATAGTTTAAGTGACGAACAGCACCAACAGTTCAAACCTGTGGGGATTCAAGAATGAGAACTGCAGAATCCTACTTGTTCTCCTGTGAAACATGTTCTTAGACCAAGAAGCAGCCATTCATACAGAGCAAGGGTTTAAATTTAGAAAAGGTGTTTGTCAGGGTTGAATATATCTATTTCAGATAGCTATAAAGGTATCTGGAGTGGATATCTTTCTCCATATCTATTCAGTGTGTTCAGGAAATAAATAATTTAAAAAGTTGAACTATATGAAAAAGAATGGTATCAAGATAGGAGGAGGACTCATTAACAATCTGTTATATAGATGAATAATGTTGCTTGCTAAAAGAAAAAAAAGAAAGCTTAAAGCATTTACTAAAGAAGATGAAAGACCACAGAGCCTTCAATATACATTATGTCTCAACATTAACAAAATCCTCACAACTGAACCAATTGGCAACATTTTGAAAAAGATTGAAGCTATCAATCAAGGACTTGATTTTACTTGGATCCATATGACCACCACTCACAGAAACAGCAGTCTAGGAATCAAAAGAGGTGTTGCATTGGGGAAATCTGCTGTCAGGGCCCAAAGCACTAAAGAACAATGCTATCAGTTTAAAAAACTGAGGTAAACATGATTTAAAGAATGGCATTTTCAACTGCTTGGTTATAGAAGACTGAAGAAGAACGAATGCCTTTGAACTGTGGTGTTGGCAAAGAGAACTGAATATACCATGGACTACCAAAAGAGAAATATATTTGTCCTGGAAGAAACGCAACCAAGGTGTTCCTTAGGGGCAAGGAAAGTCTAAGGAAAATTAGTATCAAATATTTTGGGCATGTTGGCAGACGGCTCCAATTCTTGGAAAAAATTGAAGGTCAGAGTAAGATGCACTGACACAGTGATTCAACAATGGGCTGTAACAGTTGACTGAATGACACCTAAAAGCAACATGAAGTCATGCCTTTACTACAATTTACTACACTTTGCTTCATAGAAAAGACCCTCTAGAGATGACTAAATAGGAATAAGTATTTCAATGCAATACTGGTAAAGTTCTCTATCTACAAAATTGGAAGAAATAGTTCTGGTGGCCTAGTGGTAAAAAGTTGCACTGCCAACCAAAAGGCAGGCAGTTTGAACCCACCAGCTGCTCTGTGATAGAAAGACGTGCAGTCGCCTCCCGTGTGATGTACTGCCTCTGACAACCTGCTAGTGGGTCAGCTATGAGTTGGTTCCAACTCAATGGCACACAACAACAACACAACTAAAGATAAAGGGCAGCTCTACACATGGACTGCTAGGTAACTGAAACACAGTCTGAAGTGCTTGCCCTATTTTTTCTGGGTCTGATTCTTCTTTTCTGAATTAAAGATAAAATGTGGAAGGATGGCAAAAAGTGAGAAGAATTGGTGATGGTGTTGGGTTAGACCATTCCTAAAGCCCCTCTAGCTATCCCAAGGATCCAACCATTCTAAGCTCTATTTGAACAAAAGTCCCCTTCACCGTCTATTTCTGAAATGATGTATGAAGCTTCCTCATGAAACCAAGAACACAGCCAAAATGGAAAACCTATTTATTACCTTTTGCTTTTGCCTTTTCCTTGAATGGACTGAGTTCTCTTCTTAGATGGAGGACATCTTTTAACCTGAAGTCACAATCAAAGGAAATGTAGGTTACAGAAAGTCCGGCAGAAAGGTTAATAATACAACTAAGAAGGAAAGTGAAAATAAGAAAGGGAGAGGGGGTGGTGTCAGTGTTAGCTTCAGAAAGAATATCAAATCAATAGTAAACATGGTGCTTTTTTCATGGAATTGTGTGATTTAAGAAATTCAGGACATAGTTGATCAACCAAGGGCTTTTATTAGTTGCTGGCTCAAGTCTCTTTTGAATTTATTACAGCCTGACTCTCCCAGCTCCCTTTATATAAAGTGTTGCTGAGAATGTCACTGCGCTTCTCCCGGGTGCCCTTACCCTTCCTGGCTCCTTAGCTCCTGCAAGTTCTCTCCTCCCTGTCTTCTGAGATCTATCCTCTGATTGTCTGCCTGGCCCTCTGCTTCACTAGCTCCTTTTCCTACATTCACTCCTAGGTTCCATCCTCAGCCATCTTCCCTTTGCGTCCCTGTACAGCCACTACCTCAATTTCGCAATCAGCATCTTCCCTTGATCCTCCAACTATCCCTGACTCTAGGCAGGAATTTCCGTCTAGCCTGGATGTCCTGAAGCAGTGCTAGAGTTAACATGTCAAACACCACCTTTCTTTTTCCAAAGTGTCAGTGCCTCAGCTTAAGAAGTACAATAGCTTAGGGGGGAGGGGGGTAAAGAAAAAAGTGCAACAATGAATGAATGAAAATCCAAAATCTCTGTAAATGTTCTTTAAAATTAATAATTAAAAAAAAATAAGTACAATAGCTTAAAGGAAACCGAACTTCTGAATCAGAGGATAAAAATAATTTTTGGAAACAGATAGTGGCGACGGTTGCACAGCGAGAGGAACATAATTAATGCCACAAAACTGAACATTTAAAACTGGTTGAAACATCAATTTTTAAAGACGTGTTTTACCAAAAAATGATATAAATACTGGTATTTTTCACCTGTACTTCAGAAATCAAATAAATAGAATGGTATTTAAAGATGTAAAAACACACACAATGTTTTCTTAAAAACTAAGTCAAAACTAACAGTATCCTACTGGCTTCTCTATTTCTAGTTTATCCCACTCTCCCATCTAGCCTGAATACTGGTGTTCCTAAAAGACTGATCTGATCGTGTCATTTCCAATTACCAGCTTAATGAAAAGTCAGACTTTCAAGTGTCTGCCGTAGGCTATCCATTATCTGGTCTCTATCTATGCTTATATCCAGCCAAATGGGATGGTTTCTTGTTCCTCAGGCAGACAGAGATCTCTCCCCTTTCCTTTCTGTAGTGACATCTCGTTCACCTCTTAAGGCCTGACTGTGTCCTAACAGGATAGTTAAGGCCTGACAGTTTATTCTATGTTGGAACCTATATCTCTATGTTAGTGGGATCTTCTCCACTAAGCTGCTGTCTCTGGAAAGGCAATAAATGTATTGTGTCTCTGTGCAAGTCCTCAGACCGCTCAGCCTCGTCCTCCACTCAAGTGCCTACTTACTCTTGTAGTTTGAGAATTCTTCGTTTCATTTTCTTCCTCCTCCTCTTCCTCCACTATCATTTCATCCAGGGTTACTGCTTTACGTGCTATGAGAAATAGATGAGCAGTGTGACATTTCTGATGGCAATTAACTTTCAGGCATCCACATTTCTTATAATGAACATACCTTATGCAATTTTGAGAATAATTAAGAAAAAGATCCAAAAATGATGAATACGATTTTTTTATCACAGTAAATTCAGAGAAAAGACAATAATCAGATGGTCAGGAGAGGTCACGGGTTGCTTGATAGGCAGTTTAGCATTCTGACTCAAAGCAGATTTAAGCCCAGTAGACTTGAACTGGAATCGTGGCCCTAGCAACTCACTAGGTCACATAGTTTAAATGCTCTATACCTCAGTGTGTCCTCATCTATAAAAAGATGTTGTCACTATATACATTGTGAGGCTTGAGATGTGAGCCCCCACAACAGTTATCTTTACTCCTAAGAATTGGTGCCGTTGAATTGCAGAGTCTGGCGAGGAGTAGTATACTCTGGACTACCAAAAGAACAGACAATTCTGTCTTGAAGTTCAATGCAACCAGAGTGCTCGTCAGAGGCAAGATGGTCCAACTTTGTCTCCCGTCCTTTGGGCATATTGTCAGGGGTGGCTGGTCCTGGAGAAAAGACATCATGCTGGGAAAGGTGGATGGACTGACGCAGTGGCTACAAGGGGCCTGAGCACAGTGCTGATGGCAAGGATGGTGCAGGACAGGGCAGGGTTCACATCTGTTGTTCATACGTTTGCTAGGAGAGGTAGGTGACCTGATGGCACCACACCACCAGCATCCCCCAAGCCCCAGGACTGGAAGATTTCATTTAGTATTTGTGAAGTGAATGAATATAAATTCCTTTGAGAAGACACACATTCTCAGCAGGTCATAATAATGGTAAATTATTATTATGATTACCTTCTTCAGAAGAGGAATAGGAGAGATGCTAAAAACTCATGATGCAAGACAAAATGTTTTAATATGAAAAAGACTGCCACACAGCAAAAGTTAAAATGGTTCTACAGGATGCCAAAAAGTGAATAATGTAGTATGGTATGTACCAGAAGGAAACTTTGGCTCAAAACTGGGACTAATAATAGCCTTTTAAAAGTATTGAGTGCTTATTGCCAAATATGTACAATCCTGAACAAGGATTCTTTGGAGAAAATTCATGCATTTAATCAGTGGGAGAGAGATGAGACTACAGTTTTAAGTGTGTGGAAGGTGTTCCCCTCTCTCCCCCCGCCCCCACTTGCAACTCTGACACATTAAAACAGGGACACAAAAACAATTTTAAATGCTGGCTGATTTAAGTCTCAGTGTGTTCAGTTCTGTACTCTAATTAATTAAACAAAACTGGTAGACCTCAGAAAAGGATGAGATGATAGAAAATGTAGAAATAGCCCAAAGTGACCTAAATCATCACCCCACCTCCAAAACACTAGGGACTGGCAGGTGAAGTGGGCTCTGGTACCAACCACACAGCTGGCATCAGAACTGGATGGTCTCAGCCTCCTTGGGCGGACTTACAATCGTGGACAATGCTTCCCCTTTTCCTTAACTCACATTATCAGTCTCTTGGAACAGTACAATTAAAGAAAACTTCCAGATTTATGAGACCGAGGACCAAATATTAGAGAAAAGACTTCACCAACCATCCCAGACATCAGGAGTCTTCAGTTCAACCAAGAGTTTTGAAAAGGACTCACCTCTGGCAGATTTCAAGGGTGTCTGAATAGTTTCTGCTGTTAATTTGTTTATTTCTGTGATATCAAGGTCAGCCTGGGACAAAGAGAGCCAGTAAACATCAGATCCATCACATATGAGGAACATTATGTTAAGAAACACTTTATAAAACATTACTTTATACATATAAGAACATTATATATTAGCTCTAACAAAATGTTAAGGCTCCCACAAACCTATTACTCAATTTAAGACATAGAACATCGACAACAACTTGCTTCTAGTTACATATTCTTTTCTACTGGTTTGTCTCTTTCGTAAGTGTGTCCACTATTCTAACTTTATCATTCCCTGTGACTATTACCATTTAATTTCCTACAAAAAAAAAGCATCATCTATATTATGAAATAAATATACACATATGTTAACATGATGATAATATATAGGAACTCTGGCTATCTAGTGGGGTAAGAAGCTGTACTGCCAACCCAAAGGCAGGTGGTTTGAATCCACCAGCTGCTTCAAGGGAGAAAGATGGGCAGTCTCCTCTCGTGCAATCTATGGCATCAAAAATTCCACTGGAGGGTTAACATATATATGAGTGAGCTCTAACTTGACAGCACACAACAACAATAAGAACATATGCACGTCAAATATGGTCCCTATCCTTCCAGGTACATGCTGTTGTTGTTATGTGCCATCAAGTCGCTTAGGACTCACACTGACCCTATGTACAGTGTCTCTGACACACCTAATGAATCAATCCATCTCATAGTCTTCCTCTTCCGCTGTCCCTCCACCCTCCCAAGCATGATGTCCGTCTCCAAGGACTGGTCCCTCTTTGCAACATGCCCACAATATGTCAGATGAAGCCTCAGAATCCTTGCCTCCAAGGACCAGCCCGGTTTAACCCTCTCCAGGATGAACCTCTTTGTTCTCCTAGCAGTTCATGGTATATTATTAAATACTCTTCTCTGGCACCACAATTCAAAGGCATCAATTCTCCCATCATCCCTAGTCATTGTCCACCTTTCTGATGCATAGCAAGTAACTGCGAAGACTATGGCCTGGATCAGGCACACCTCAGTCTCCAGATCTGACATGGTTGTACTTTAGTACTCTGGAGAGGTCCCTGACAGCAGATTTTTCCAGTACAATTCATTTCTTGATTTCCTGACCACTAGTACCAAGAGTGTTGATTATGGTGCCAAGCAAACAAGGATATGTATATTTAAATAATATTTGGTTTTGACTGATCTTTGTGGTTGTAAATTTCTTTTCACTGTTATATAACATTCCAATGTGTGGCTATACAATAATGGCCTTTTCCATTCTCCTGTCAATTTTTTCAGATGTTACAAATACTGCTATTTAGTCATTCATACAGGTCTCTTGTGTACATGCCCACATTTTCTGAGCTGTATTCTTAAGGAATGGACATTATAAGGATGTACGGTAGGCAAACATTCAGCTTTGATATTACATCAGACTATTTTCCAAAGTAGTTACACTTGTTCCATCCCATTAGCAATCAAGTTTCTTATAATTGTTGGTTTTGGCCAACTACCTGGAAGAGATCTATATTTATTCCCATTTAAACAAAAGGTGACCTGATAGAGTGTGGAAATTATAGAACAATATCACATACTAGCAAAATCCTCCTGAAGATTATCCAGAAACTACTGGAAGAGTACACTGACAGCTACCAGAAATTGACAGAAAGCTGGGTTTAGAAGAGGTTGTGGCATTAGAGACATTACTGCCAAAGTCAGATGGATCTTGGCAGAAAGCAAAGAACACCAGAGGAATATCTATGTTTCATTGACTATGCAAAGGCATTTGACTGTGGATCACAACAAATTGTGATTTCCAGCCCCCCCATTTTCTTGAGGAAAATGGGAATCCCAAACCAATTGATTGTGATTATGTGAAACCTATACTTGGATCAGGAAGCCATCCTCAGAACAGAGCAGGGAAACACTGCATGGTTCAAAATAAGGAAAGGAGTGCATCAGGGATGCATCCTGTTTCCATATGAGGCGGAATGTGGCGTCAAGATTAGAGGAAGTCTCATCAACAACCTATGTTATGCAGATGACACGACCTTGCTTGCTGAACTGAAGAAGACTTGAAGTACTTGCTGCAGAAGGTCAAAGACTATAGTCTTCAGTTTGAAGCTCAACACCAAGAAGACAAAGATTCTCACCATTGGGTCCTCTGGCAGTACCATGATAGATGGAGAAGAAATTGAGGTTGTTAACAATTACAGCTTGCTCGGCTCCACAATCAACACTCTTAACACCAGCAGTTAGGAAATCAAAAGATGGAATTGCATTGGGGAAAGCTGTCAGGGACCTCTTCAGAGTACTGAAAAGCAAAGATATCAGTCTAGACACTAACGTGTGCCTAATCCAGGCCAATGCCTTCGCAATTACTTGCTATGCATCAGAGAGCTGGACAATGACTAAGGATGACAAAAGAATCAATGCCTTTAAATTGTGGTGCTGGAGAACAGTCTTGAATATACTGTGGATTGCCAAAAAACAAGGAGGTCTATCTTGGAGAGGGTGAAACAAAGTTTCTCCTTGGAGACTAGAATTTTGAAGCTCTGTCTCACATACTTTGGGCATGTGACCAGGAGAGACTGATCCTTGGAGGACATCATTCTTGGAAGGACACTGGAGGAGAGGAAGACTCTGGATGAGATAGGCTGATTAGTGACTGGAGCAATGGTGGTTGGTGTGTTGGAATTAGTGAGACTGGCTCAGAACAGGGCAGGCTTTCGGAGCTGTTGTACATAAGGTCACGTGACTCGACAGCACCTAACAACTTGCGTCAGATTTCTCATTTTTTATCAGTCTAGAAGGTTTCTATAAGGGTTCTATTATGTTCCTGAGTCCTTCAAATGGGCTTCCAGTCACCATTCTCATTACATTTGTTCACAGTGATGACTACCATCTCTATATATGGGTAAAGTCAGAAGCAGGCATATCTCATGGCCCTTTCTTCTTGTGTACATGGAAATGGCAGAAGAGTTATTAGACTAGGAATGACATCAGTTTCCTCTTAGGGGGCTTTATGAAGAGCTCTGAGGAGGATTCTGAAATTAACTGGCCTTAGCAAGAAACAGTGTGGTAACATGTTAGTAAGAATGGTGATATTCCAGCTAATTTCTGTTCTCTATAAACAAATGGCATTCTATGAAGGCATCACTGATCGCCCACAACGCTGAAGAGTTAACACAGCAGACCTGAAACTGCAATGCTTAAAAAGGTCCATTTACAAGATTGGCCTTTTGCTGGCATCTAGGAACCTGAATTTTGGAGGGTCCTCACCATTTCCTGAAAGTGATTCATTGTACCTAAACTGTGCATACTACCTAGCTTGTGCTAAACATCTTCTTTTGAGAGTATAGAGTTTTAGTACATTTTCGGCAGAGTATAAGAAGCCTTGGTGGTGCAGTGGTTAAACATTCAGCGGCTATCCAAATGGTTAGTGGTTTGAACCCACAAGCCACTTTGTCAGGGAAAGATGTGACAGTCTTGGAAATTGTATAGGGACAGATCTACTCTGTCCTTTAGTGTTACTATGAGTCAAATTGACTTGATGGCAATGGATAAGAAGAAGGTGTCTGTGTGACCAGCCTTTGCTAAAAACCCTGGATATTAAGTGTCTAATGCTCTTCACTGGTAGAAAGCATTTCATAGGTGATGCTACAACATGAAAGTGTTGTGGTGATGCTGTAGATAAAGGCATTTGGATGTTCATCAAAAGGTCAGCGATTTCAAGCCACCAGGCACTCTGCAGGAGACAGACAAAGCAGTCTGCTTTTGCAGATTCACAGCCTTGGAAACCCAATGGAAATTCAACTCTGCCCTACTGGGTCCCTCTGAATCACTGGAAGAATTTAGCAGGTCCTGTGTGACTTCACTGTGAAGACATTCTTGGAAGCTGGTGCCTGAGATTTCCTCTCGCCTTTGCTACTCCCACCTTTCTTCTTTATGGGTTTTGCTTTGTATTCTTTTCACTGTGATAGTCATATACCTGAGGATGACTATAAGCTTAGCCCTGTGAATCCCAATAATCACTAGACCTGCGAGCAGCCTTGGAGATCCTGAGAATTTACTAACATAGGGGCGCTCTGATGGTGTAGTCCATGGGGAGCTGCACTGCAAAACCTAAGGCCAACATCTCTCTTGCAATCTGAATCGACCAGCAGCTGCTTGGGAGATAAGCACTTCCTCCCGTGTGATTGAGAGCCTTTAAAAACCTGCTGGAGGGTCAGCTATGAGTCAGTTCCGACTCTCACAGTAATAAATTTTTTAGAATCAACTATCATTTTTTCCCCTTGAGTTTTAAGACTAGTATTTTATCAACCTGCTGTGGTAACACTGGATGCCAAATGAGCAGCTCTGATTTACAGTTGCACGTGGACTGCAGCAGGCTTGGACACAGAAGAGACTGTGAGGACGGCACAATACAGGGCAGAGTACTGTTCTGTTGGACTGAGTCACTATGAGTCAGAGCCAATTTGATAACATTGTCTGATTTTTTTAAATGGAGGGGAACTGCATTAGCTAATCATGAATAACAATGCATCCCAGACATAATTTCTTTGAAATAATGAATCTAGGAATGTGGGCAATGGGTAAGAGTAAGGAAAAGATAAAGCATGATCTAAGGACATTTTACTAGCTTTTTATTTTAGTTTTCATTTATTCCCTAATCCTCTCCTACAATATCAACTTCAAATTCACTAACCACCTTTTCCCCAATTTAAAAACTGGCTAATAATTATCCTTAGATTCTGAAGATGGCAGAGATCTTCTATTCAACATAACTATGTACCTTTTTTCATCAAACAACTTATGAAGAGGCAATGGTGATGAAGGAAGAAGTAAAGCTGCTCTGAAGGAATTGATCCAGGAACTGATGGAATACCAATTGACATAGTTCAACAAACAGATGCAGCCTTGGAAGTGTTCCCTAGGCTGTGCCAAAAAATCTGGAGGGCAACTACATGGCCAAATGCCTAGAAGAGGTCCATATTTTATTTAAAGCTAGGCTTTAGAGGAAGGTGGCATCGGGATTGGAGGAAGACTCGTTAACAATCTGTGTTATGCAGATGAACCTGCTTTAACTTGCTTGCTTAAACTGAGAAGGGCCTGAAGCATTTGCTGTAGAGGGTCAAGGACTGTAGTCTGCAATATGAATTGAAGCTCAACAAGAAGAAAATGAAGAGTCTCATCACTGGGCCAATTCATAGCGCCATTATATATGGAGAAGAGAATAAGATTGTTAACAACTGCATGGTTCCACAATCAACATTCTTGGCACCAGCAGTCAGGAGATCAAAAGACAAATCGCATTAGGAAAATCTGCTGTCAGGGACTGTGCACCTGATCCCGGCATAGTTTTTGCAATTACTTGCTGTGCATCAGAGAGCTAGACAATGATCAAAGATGACATAAAAAGAACTGATGCCTTTGAGTTGTGGTGCTGGAGAAGAGTACTGAACATACCATAGAAAGTGAAAAGAACTAACAAGTAAATGCTGGAGAAAGACCTCCCAACAAATCCCAAAAAATCCAAGCGGCTTTTTGTGGATTTTAAGGTTCTGTCTCATATCTTTAGGGCATGTTGCCAGAAGGGACGAGTCTTTGGAGGACATCATGCTCGGAAGGGTGAAGAGACAGCACAGAAAAGAAAGACCTCAGATGAGACGGACTGACACAGTAACTGAGGTGATTGAGGGTAGGTGGGTCAGAGAGTGTGAGACTGGCTCAGGACAGAGCAAGGTTCAGAGCCTCAATGCATAGGCTCACTGTAAGTCGTAGCTGACTCAAGAGTGTATAACAACCACCACCACCACAGCATGCACCTTATTTAGTCAGATCTCATTAAATTTTGAGGTCTGAACACATTGTCTCCTCATCTATGAAGGTAGACTTTTGGGAGACTGTGTAGCTCAAGAAAGCTACAAAAAAACTTTTGTGTCCCAGAAAGACCCTCCTGTAGAGCTTACAATTTAGACAGCACTGTGGGAAAGTTCCTGCTGTGTCACATGGATAACTATGTTTGGCTATGAAACTGTGTTTCAACTATGAGTTGAAATTGACTTGATACCACCAATGGCTAATGTTCAAATCTAAACCTTATTTTGCCTTTCATCTCATTGCTTTCAATTCTGATAATTGATGCTGGGAAAGAGACGTGTACCAAGGTCAATAAGGTGAATGATCTTCAAAGTCCCAAGCAAGAGCACTGTCTCTGCAGGATGACACGACAGAACAAAAATCTCTTTTGTCATCTAGCAGGCCAGTCATTATAGCATAAAGACTCAAGATCTTAAAGGAACTCAAGTTGCAGATCTCTATTTTCCCCTAGAGTTAAGGGCAAAGGGTTACAAGGAATCTGCCAAAAATAGAACTCCTTTGCTTAGTAGAGTTTAAAAAGGTCTGGATCGCATGTATCAGCATTTGACACAATTAAATAGCTTGTCAGTTGACATGAACAATGTCCCTGGTGGAACCTCTTCCCTAGTAAGCACCTTTTGTTTTGATTGTGTGACCAGACTAAAGAACTAACCCCCAGTACAAAAATAGGACAGGTCACTTACTTTTGCTGCCTCTTCCAGGGCCTGCTTGTTTCCTCCCAAGGCTTCAAAAGGAACATATTATTTAGTTATTACAGATTTTTAACAAGAATTCATTTCCCCCTAACATTACTAGTTGTCTTTTTAAAACTAGACCAGGTTAAACTCTTGGTCCAATAATATAGTCTTCGCTCTCTAGTCTCCAATCATGACTCTACCTCCTGACCTACTTTACTGTTATAGATTGCATTGTGTGCCCCCAAAAATGTAGAAAATCTTAACCTCCTGGTTATAATTCCAATTGTGTTATCTTTGTTCTGCTAATGAGGCAGGATTAGTGTAAAGATCTATTTTATGTCAACTGAGATTTAGAAGAGAGGAAACAACTGAGCAGAAGAGATGGGGGAAGACACAAGCCAACTCACAGGAAGATCTCTTAGGAGCAAGAGCTCAAAGAGACAAGACCTTCTTCTAGAGAAGACAGAGAAAGCCTTCCCCTGGACCAAGTACCCCAAATTCTGACTTTTAGTCTCCTGAACTGTGAGATAATAAATTTGTTAATGTCACTCATTAGTGGTATTTGTTAAAGCAACACTAAGTAGCTAAGACATCTATCGTCCACCACACTAAATTTCTCACCATTTCCAAAGGTGAGACTAAGTATTCTCTCATGACTAAGTATTTTACCACTTCTTTTTTTGCCTAGAAAACTTGTCTGGACTTGAAGCTCCTAATTCATCTTTCTAAATTCTGCTCAAATGTCATCTCCTTAACAACAGGCTCTACTGTGTACCAAACATTACACCCACCATATCTGACTTCTCACAAACCCTTATTCTACAGAAAGGGACACTGAAGCCAGAGAGATTAAGTATGAATAAGTTACTTGAAGCTGGAATAGAAAAGAGTTGGAATATGATTTAAGATCTGTCTTGACCCCAGAACTGTCTTTCTTTCATAGTAGGTTGCTGCAAAGTGTCAATGCTTGCTTCAACTGTGAATTCCCTGAGGATAGAGATAATATGCACAGCTTCTGGCAAGTCTGGTATATAGTATGTCATGTGCCATCAAGTTGGAATCAACCCACAACTGACCGTCCAGCAGGTTTTCAGAGGTAGTAAAGCACATGGGAAGAGACTGCTCATCTTTCCCCTGTGGAGCAGCTAGAGGACTTAAACTGCCTGACTTACAGTTGGCAGTGCAACTCTTTACCCACTAAGTTACCAGAGCTCCCTGGCATATATTTACCCAATACTCCTTAGAATAATCAACCGTAACAGATCAAAAGGGCATTTGCCCAGGTACAAAGCTCAAAAGACAGAGAGGGATAGGATACAATGAACGGACATGGGAATCAGCGAAGTGAGAAACATGTTACAATATGGGGATTATAATCAATGGTACAATGTCTATGAATGAACCAATTATGTCTATGAATATTCACTGAATTCATAACAAAAAGTTAAAAGAAAACATCAGTAATAAATTTTATTTTTTAAAAAAAGAAAACATCAGAAACAAGATTCAGATATACAGTTAAAGTTTACTAAACCAGGTGGCTCCTTGGAGGCAAGGATTCTGAGCCTCCATCTGACATACTTTGGACATGTTGTAAGGAGAGACCGGTCCTTAGAGAGGGACATCATGCTTGGGAGGGTGGAGGGATAGTGCAGGAGGGGAAGGCCCTCTGTGAGGTGGATTGATTCAGTGACTGGGGTAATCGGGATGGGACAGTGTGATTGGCACAGGACACAGCAGAGTTTAGGGCTATTGTACACAGGGTCGCTATGAGTCGCAAGCGACTTGACGGCACATAACAACAACAGTTAGAAACTCATAATGTCATTGGTCTGAGAATACAGGCTTTAAAACCAGAATATCCTGATTCAGACAGCCTCTCCCATTAACTAGTTTATGAGACCTTGAACAGTTAACTAACCTCTTTTTTCAAGGATAAAATAGTAAAGATAGATTTACTAGGAAGTTATATTCCCCAAAGAGATGGACTTCCCTCCTTAAAAGGAACTACAGAGAGAAGCCAATAATAACTTTATGCCTTAGTTTTGTCTTCTAGAAAACTGAGATAATCTTAATGGTAAGCTTGTTACAAGGATGAAACAATTTCTATAAAACATTTGTTACAATGTTTGGCATAAGAAGTCCCATATAAAGTACTCATTGTTGGTTATTCTATTCTTGGAGCCCTTATATATTTTAATTATAAAATGAGTAAAATTTTTAATCACCTGAAGATACAATGTCTGTTTTAATTTCCTAATCTTCAGGATTAGTACTGTGTCTGACAAATGATTACTGTGTATTTGTAGAAATGTGCAAGAAAATGAAGTAATAAATAAAACTTATTAGTCCTGCTGGTGCAGTCCATAGCATTGCAGGCTAACCCAATGATAGTGTCTCTCTAGTCGTTTGAATTCACCAGCAGTTCCATAGTAAAAAACCAAAAACATGTGTTGAAACAAAAGGCCTCTGCAAGATGCAGAATTAAAAAGAACAAAAGGCCTCTGCAAGATGCAGGATTAAAAAGTGAATTTCAGGGAACTCTGGTGGCTTAGTGGCAAGAGGCTGCACTGCAATCCCTAAGGCATGGGGTTTAAATCCTCCAGATGCTCCGCTGGAGAAAGAGGGGCAATCTCCTCCTGTACCAGTCGGACACAATTCCACGTTACACAATTTAAAAAAAAAAAGGTGACTTTTGTTACTCTGAGATTGTAACAGTATTTTTACTTTCTGTACAATAAAGAAGCTTTGTGTTAGTCTGGGCAAAGAGGGCCAAAGAGAAGAATGAAGAATTCAGAACTCAAATGTTGATGGCCTTGCCTGCTTCAGATAAGAAGGCAAAAGGCCTTGCCTGCCTGGCTAAGCTAGCAGGTGGCCCATAAATCAGAATGGAATGTACCTCCCTAAAGACTCTGTTTATAAGAATCCTCCCCAGTAAGTTCACAGTGTGACTTCCCATTCTGCCTCTCCAGGATGAGGAACTCACCCGGGAGCTCCCCTTCCACCCCCACCCCCCTTTAATAAAGCTGCATTAAGCTTTCTCTTGTTCTCTCTGATTTTCTTCTTTAAGTCCACTAACCTAACCTAACCTAACCTAACCTAACATATGGTGCTGCGAAACCCGGGAGATGAGTTAAGGTGCTGCGCCCCCGCCGTAGGGTGAGTGCTGGCGCCCCTTACTCTCTTCCGAACGAGTCTGTGCAGTGTCCAGATGCCTGAACAGTAAAGTTCTGCTGCTCTTCCTCTCCCCTGTGCTCTGTGTGGGCAGCTGCTGGCCAGATCTCTGCCCCTTTTGTCTTTCTGATCTCTGTGTTCTCCCTCTCTTTCTCCTGGAGGCTCCTAAAGCTAGACCCAATTTATTTCCAGGCATATTAAGCCTTTACTCCTCTGTTCCAAAGCTTTCAAGCTTTCCAGCCCAAACATTGTGAACTCCCATGAGAACCCAGATCTGTTCCATTGGCCTTCCATCCCACATATCCACAAAAAACACAGATCTGTGTTAGAAGGCCAACCAGAAATGCCAGGCATTTCTTCCAGGCTATGATGGCTCTGAGGACACTCAAGCTGTCTATAGCCTCTCTCCACTCGTAAGAGTTCCTGAGATTCCCAGTTTCCAGAGGACGCTTTGGAATTCCGGTTGTCTCACCCACAGATCTGGGAACAATGGGAAGCCAATGTCTATCCAAGCTTTCAAGAGAAGGTCTCTTGAACTGCCTTCTCTCAAATCACTCACACTTGAGTCTAGCTGAAGACCTCTGCCTCAAGATCCTTTTTCTGTAACTGAGCGGCCACAATACTAGCTAAGTAATAACTCTCAGTGGCCTAAAAATAAAACCTTGAGTTCGGCATCTAAACACTTTCTGCCAGTGGACGTAAAGAAACTTTCTTTTGTTTCGCTCCCGTACTTTCCTCTCTGTCCCAGCCTCCACCTCCTCCAAAAATCTCTTTGTCTGAAACCTTGCCCATCCTGACCAATACAAACTCAGCCATTCCTATCCTACCTCTTACATCATCTGTTACCAGGGTTATACCCGCCAAGTTAACCTCTTTGTTCTTTAGTTGCTCTTCTATCCCAACCAATCCAGACTCAGGCATACCTATTGCTCTCCTCCTACTGAGTCCCTCCTATGTCCTCTTCAAAAGTTACAAATGTTAAAAATCCCTCTCTGTGTTCAAAAAAAACTGCATCTTTCTGCTGTAAACGCACTCACCTTTAATCCTATCAAGAACCCCTTACAGCCTCTGTTTTCCTAACTCAGTCATATGCAAATGTAGCCTCGCCACAGGGAGCCTTTCCAATTCTCCCTCAGGTGCAGCCCATTCTGCCACCTTCACTCTCCCCAATGTGTTCAGAAAAAGTTTCCTACATCCACTCTCTTCCTTTACCTTCCTTCTCTTAAACCATCACCTTCCTCCTCTGATCACATAAGCAGCAAAAACACAGGCAAATTTGCCACACCTCTCAGCTCCTGCTTTCCCCCACTCAGACACAGCCCCTCCTCCATCCTGCTTAGAAAAGTTCCCAAAGCAGAGAAAAATGCCAAAGTGAATAG